ACGCCCTAAGAGGCAGCAGTCACCGGTCTGGAGTGGCTGTTTCCACAGCTCCTGAACCCCGAGAAGCAGTGACATCAGCAGTGCTGCGGTCCCTCTGGGACTTGCCAAGGGCCAGGCCCCCAAGTCACTTCCCCGCGGAGAGCTGGGACAGTCCCTAAGTCACACAGGCCTGGAGCTGGGCAGGACCTGTAGACGTGGCTTTCGAAGCAAGGGCTCACACAGGTGCAGAGGCACCGTGCAGACTCGGCTCACCTCCTGCAGGCCAGCAACAGGAGCCTGAGACTGCGGTGCAACACTTGCCACAGCTGCATGGACCTGCACCCCGGGGCCCCTGCTTGTCATTTTGAAGACCTGCAGTGACTGCCTTTTTTTTTTTTTTTCTTTGAGATGGCGTTTTACTGTCACTCAGGCTGGAGTGCAGTGCCTCCATCTCGGTTCACTGTAATCTCTGCCTCCCGGGTTCAAGCAATTCTCCTCAGTCTCGTGAGTAGCTGGGATTACAGGCCCGCGCCACCATGCCCAGCTAATTTTTATATTTTTAGTAGAGACTGGGTTTCACCATGTTGGTCAGGCTGGTCTTGAACCCCTGACCTCAGGTGATCCACCTGCCTCAGCCTCCCAAAGTGCTGGGATCACAGGTGTGAGCCACCGAGCCCAGCCTGTGACTGCCTTTTATCCAGGGGTTTTCCCTGGAGGGTGTGGGCACCATACAGGAGGGCACAGTTTTAGTGTCAATCAGGGAGGGAGTTCAGCAGGTCCTTCAGATGCAGCTAGACCTTCTCAGCCTGTGGCATTTGGGGCTCTGCTCTGTCGCTGGCCCTACCTGTGTCTGCCCAATCGCCCTCAAACCTCTCAAGGGGTCCTCCTGGGGGGATTTTTACTGCTTTGTGTAGCCTGAGGCAAGAGTGGCCTTGACTTCCCGCAGAAAGTGGATGCCACAGCAGGCCCCGCTCTTGCTTCTGGGGAGGAAGTCAGACAGGAAACACCTTCCCCAGCTGGGCTTGCCTCACAGACGCTTTCAGAGCTGGCTTTCCTGAACTTCCCCAAAATTAAGGTTGAGGTGCCGGGCGCAGTGGCTCACGCCTGTAATCCCAGCACTTTGGGAGGCCGAGGCGGGTAGATCACTTGAGGTCAGGAGTTCAAGACCAGCCTGCCTGACATGGAAAAACTCTGTCTCTAATAAAAAAATTAGCCAGGCGTGGTGGCGGACACCTGTAATCCCAGCTATTGGGAGGCCGAGGCAGGAGAATTGCTTGAACCTGGGAGGTGGAGGTTGCAGCGAGCTGAGATCATGCCACTGAACTCCAGCCTGGGCAACAGAGCAAGACTCCATCAAAAAAAAAAAAAAAAAAAAAAAAAAAAAAAAAAGGCCAGATGTGGTGGCTCAAGCCTGTAATCCCAAAACTTTGGGAGGCTGAGGTGGGAGAACATGAGGTCAGAAGTTCAAGACCAGCCTGGCCAGTATGGTGAAACCCCGTCTCTACTAAAAATAAAAAAATTAGCTGGGCACGGTGGTAGGCATCTGTATTCCCAGCTACCCGGGAGGCTAAGGCAGGAGAATCATTTGAACCTGGGAGGCAGAGGTTGCAGGGAGCCGAGATCGCATCACTGCAGTCCAGCCCGGGCAACGGTGCAAGACTCCGTCTCAAAATAAAAAAAATTAAGGTGTGGTGGGGTTGGGGGGCAGGTAAGGAGGGACTGAGGGGTGGCTGAGGGGAAGCATGGGCCACAGTCTGGGCTTGGTTTTTAGCCCCATTCCCAGGGTGAGAAGGCCCCTCAGGTGCAGCCAGAGCAGGTCCACCGGCCCTTTGTCATTGATGGGCCACCAGGCCAGACCCCTAGGGACCTGTGATTTCTACAACCGGTGGCAAGCTGCGCCCAGTCTGCCCTGTGAGTCAGGAGAGTGGGCAGCTGTGGGTGAGGTGCAGCGAGCCAGAGCTTCCTTCCCACCGTGGACCCAGGCAGGAGCTGAACTCCAGGCGGGGCAAGTGATGCTTTTGAGAGGAAAGGAGCCACAGCCCTGTTTGCGGACATCCCCCTGGTCTCGCAGGTCTAAAGACAGGGACAACGGCCTCCAGGTCACCTCCATTCCTAAAATCCACTCTCCCTTCCTATTCCCCGTCGTAGGGAAACTGAGGCACTTTGTGAGAGCATCAGATCCTCGCAAGGCACCCAAGTCCAGAAACTGGGGCTTCCGTTTAGGAAGATGAGCAGTGACCTTCTAAAAGACGGAAGGGGTCACTGGGCAGTGAGTGACCTTCCAAAAGGTGCCGTGTTGGTGTGTGACAATTATCTGACCCCAATGGTTAAGCTTGCCAGGTGCCTTGAATTTACTGAGACCAGAGCTTAGGGTGTGATGTGGAAAACAGAAAGGCCTGAGCGCTCCATCTCCCTCTCAGGTGGAACTTTTGGTCTCTGGAGGAAAACACCCAGGGGGAGGCCAGGAGGCTCAGAAAAACCAGCCTGCTTCAAAATGAACCGACACCTGGCTCTCTGTGAGCACCCGGTTCTAGGGTACCACAGACCCGGGTCCAAGCAGCATCCTCAAGCCTCTGAGTAAGACTGGGGCGACGATGTCCTCATTGATACAGTTCCAGAACAATCTCGCAGACCTCACTTTACATGTCAGATGACTTCAACCAATTAAAAAATTAAGGCAGCCAGGCATGGTGACACATCTGTAATCCCAACACTTTGGGAGGCTGAGGCGGGAGGATCACCTGAGGTTGGGAGTTTGAGACCAGCCTGACGAACATGGAGAAACTCCTGATTCCTTGGCAGGGATCTATGAAAAATACAAAAGGCTAGCTGGGCGTGGTGGCGCGTGCCTGTAATCCCAGCCACTCAGGAGGCTGAGGCAGGAGAATTGCCTGAGCCCAGGAGGCGGAGGTTGCGGTGAGCCGAGATCGCGCCATTGCACTCCAGCCTGGGTAACAAGAGCGAAACTCCGTCTCAAAAAAAAAAAAAGAAAAATACAAAAGGGAGCCGGGTGTGGTGGTACACAGCTGTAATGACAGCTACTTGGGAGGCTGAGGCAGCAGAATTGCTTGAACCTGGGAGGCAGAGGTTGCAGTGAGCCCACACAGCGCCATTGCACTCCAGCCTGGGGTAACGAGTGAAACTCCGCCTCAAAAAACAAAAAATTAAGGCATCATCTATTGTGCTAACTCTGATGTGCACTGATGGCCTGGGGGTGGGGGGGGGGGTGGGAGGGGCAGGCGAAAGCAAAGCCTTCTCACAAGCAGGTGACAGCTGCCAGCTCTAGCACTTGAGAGCAGACCTGTCACTGGCCCTTCCTGTAGGATCTCCCTGCAGGGACAAAGCTTTGGTTTCCTTCCCACTAAGGACAAGGGGCGTGGAACGGGAGTTGGCGCTTGGCACTCAGCGGGCAGGGTTTAATTCATACAGTCCTGGGAGGAAGACGTTTCCTTGCTTTTACTGTTCTTCTGATAGAAACGTCCTCAAGGTAATGGCTGTCCAAAAGTAGATCTGGGTTTTTTATCAGTCACTCCACAGCCTTACCTGGGAATTAATTCTGTTTGACCTTAATTATTATGAAATCAGGTGTTTGGGTTTTTTTGTGAGACAGAGTCTCACTCTCTCACTCAGGTTGGAGCACAGTGGCACGATCTGGGCCCCCTGCAGCCTCTGTTTCCTGGGTTCAAGCACTTCTCCCACCTTGGCCTCCCGAATAGCTGGGATTGCAAGTGTGCACCACCATGGTTGGCTAATTTTTGTATTTTTAGTAGAGATGGGAATTCACCATGTTGGCCAGGCTGGTCTTGAACTCCCGACCTCAAGTGATCCATCTGCCTCGGCCTCCCAAAGTGCTGGGATTACAGGCGTGAGCCACAGTGCCTGACCAAGAAATCAGGAGTTGTTTCAGAAACAGGAGCTTATTAGATGTTCTGAGGAGACCTACTTGAACTATACTGCTTTTCCAATCCAGACTACCGGGCTAACGAAGATTTTACTGGGCAAGCTTAACTTTCCCTCCACCCTCTGAAGAATCACATTCTTTATCCACCTTTTAGAAATGGACTGCCTGAGGCTGGGCACAGCGGCTCATGCCTGTGATCCCAGCACTTTGGGAGGCCGCGGCGGGCAGATCACGAGGTCAGGAGATCAAGACCATCCTGGCCAACATGATGAAACCCTGTCTCTACTAAAAATGCAAAAAATTAGCTGGGCGTGGTGGCACGTGCCTATGGTCCCAATTACTCAGGAAGCTGAGGCAGGAGAATCGCTTCAACCAAGGAGTCAGAGGTTGCAGTGAGCCAAGATCGCGCCGCTGCACTCCAGCCTGGGTAACAGAGTGAGACTCTGTCTCAAAAAAGAAAAGAAATGAAAAAAGAAATGAACTATCTGATGCCCGCACGGTGACTCAGCGCCCATCTTTACTAAAAATTAGCAGGACATGGTGGTGCGTGCCTGTAGTCCCAGCTACCCGGGAGGCTGAAGCAGGAGAATCACTTGAACCTGGAGGCTGAGGCTGCAGTGAACCGAGATGGTGCTATTGCACTCCAGCCTGGGCAACAAGAGCTGGGCACGTTTTTAAAGAAACGTTACAAGAACTGTGAGATGGTATCAGAGAAGCGGTCTCCTCCCAGGTCAGCAGGCAGGCGAATTGTGAGACCAGTGTCCTTTTCTGGCACATGAGGTCCCGGCACAGCAGAGGCAGGGACCATGCTGGGAAGAGAGGGGCCCCAGAGCCGGTGCGTGGGCTCAGGCAGGAGGGGCTACTGTGCGAGCTCTGGATGGCCGGGAATTTTGGCCCCAAAATCGCACGTGAGCTGCTCTCCAGCCACAGCTGGCACGGCCCAGATAGAAGCGGGGAGCCTTGGCCCAGATCAGAGACGGGCAGCGGTGGTCTCAGAAACCCCGCAAGCCGCGCTGTCCCCAGGAGGCACGGCGGGCGCTGCCTGTGTTCCACCTACGCCCCGCCACCCGCAAGCTTCCCCCCAAAACGGAACCATGAAGACAGCCAAGAGAGCAATGCCTTAGTGTGTGAAAGGCATGGATGGATTTTATTGATTACCCTATATCTACAATTTGAGGTAAAATAGAAGCAACACATAAAAATGCCTATTTCTGCTACCATGTCATATAATTCTCCATTGTGAATATTGTGATAAAGCTACTGAAAAACTATGCCGTCACATAGCCTAGCTTCTTGGAGAGCTGGTATTTTACAACTTGCACCGTTTGTGAAATCTCAACCCATGTTAAGACTCTCCTAGGAAGGCGCAGCACGTCAGAGGTTGCGTCCAGAGCCCCCGGCCCCTCCTCCCTCCCCGCACCGCCACCTCAGGGTTACAAGAAGCATTAGGAAATCCGCCGGCCCGGCGAGCCCTGGACCCCGGGCCAGAACAGCCTTCCTGCGAATCCGCGCTGCAGCAGGTCCCGCGATGGTGAGGCCGCCTGAGTGGTGTCGAGCGAGCCCCGATCCTCACCCCGGTCTTCAACTTCTGGTACACCATGCATTTTATTTGGACGAAAAGTAAAAGTGGAAGAGTTTCTCTCTGTATTTAATCTATAATTCACACGCTGAGATACTGACCTCTGACTGTTAGGTGATCCAGACGGTTTTGCTTTTAATTATGATAAAAAAACAAAACAAAAACAAAAACAAAAACAAAAAAAACCCATAGGAACCATGAGAGATAGCTTAGGAAAAGGTTTAGTCAAATATACAGATACGAATTGTTCACTCAGTCATTAAGGAGAGCCGTGAACAAAGGATCATTTAAATGATTTTTTTCAAATAGAAAAACAAAAGAACTGAACTACCACAGGAATTGCTCTTCACTGCAGAAGCTGAGATGTTCCAGGAGGGGGTATCTCCACTTGATTGGAAAATAAACACCGTAACTGAAGGCTCTGCTGAGTACATAAAAAATCTGGTGGGATTCATCCCTGACATTTCCCTGTCGTTTTTCCAGCATTGCTGTAAAATCCTGATAATACATTCCCCAGTTACACCAGGCATTCCAGACCCACAGTCACTCTGCTCTTTAATTCAATTCACAGAACTGCTGAAAAAGTAGACATTTCTATCTAAAAGTAGAAAAAAAGGTTTGTATAGAAGGTATTTCTGTTATACAAGTATATTACACAGCTTGGGGTAGTAACAGGTCCGAAAAGCTCTTCTCAACCACTGATACTTTAAGCTAGAATAGGAAAGAAACAAGCAAACAGGTTAATCTAATTACGGGAACTGAACAGTCACCAACATCACAACTTTAATCTGCCAATTCTGATAACAATGACTTGGGTTCGGATGCATTCATAAAGCAACATGAAAGCGTAAGTCCATGAGCTGACAGTGTAAGGCAAATTCCAGTACAAGAAGTCTCTGGATTTAAAAAAAAAAAATTCCATTGTCAAAGCTTCCTGACTTCTGGTCCCAACCTACTCCTCCTATGACAACTTGGGTGAATTTAAGAAATCGGGACTAGCAGGATCGGACTTGTAACTCAACTCTGCAAGATGAACATGAGATCTGCGGCTCTCACAGACTCCGAAAATACCATTGCTAAGGGGAACAAAAGGCAGCCTAATGATTCTGACTCAGCAGATTCCAATGAGGAGGACAACGTTTACTCTACCGATTAGAAACACAACATTGTTTTTAAGGCAAAAGTGCTTTGACATCTTTGACTGAGAGATATTGATCCAAGGAGAATCTCCCTGTTGAATCTTCTAGCTTAACCATCCAGGAAGGAGGCTCCCACCTGGCTCCCACATCCCCTGGAGGCGGGGGCCCCATCTTACGTTAAAGGAGGGAGATCACATTAGCTACGCGTATGTAGGGGGTTCAGATGGACACCACACGGCGTCCCGGACACAGAAGCTGATTTACCCTAGGAGGGAAGAGGTCTACCACGTGGGGTCTGGTTCTTGCTTGATCTGAGAGCTTCCATCGGTCTCTTTTATTTCTATCAACGGAAACAAAATGGTACTGGTTAATTATTGTGCAAAGCTGCTAGATTATAAATCCATTCATAGCAAGCTATTTACTAAGATATGGTTTAATAAGGAGGCAAAGGCACCAAACAGGAAAACGGCTTCAGAGAGACGCCTCTCGAGCAACACATTCTAGATTCTGTTACGTATGTTTTCAAAGTAACACATCTTCTGGCTTGTATGCGTTTAAAGGACCCCATTATCTAGGTTATGTAGCGGTCATTCATTCCACTGACTTTCAGGTAGAATTCACCGAGTCATCTGGGGAAGCGAAGCAAAAGCAGCTAGGCCTGATCTCTCAGCAGCATAACCTGCAAGTCCGATTCACCCAGAAGACAGAGAGCAAAACCATCACCCAGTCCTAGCGAATCGTTTAAACATACAACCCTTAGTCCTGATAAAAGTCTTGGCTGGGCAAGGTGGCTCATGCCTGTAATCCCAGCAACTTGGGAGGCTGAGGCAGGAGAACTGCTTGAACCCAGGAGGTGGAGGTTGCAGTGAGCAGAGATCACACCACCTCACTCTAGCCTGGGTGACAGAGCAAGACTCTGTCTTTAAATAAATAAACAGTAAGTAAAAAAGTCTTAAAGACTTCAGATTTATACGGCAGGATCACCCCACCCTTTTACCTTCTGTGGCTGGAACTTCCAACTGGCTTGGTTCAGATGATTCTAAAGAGAAACACAGAGATTTGATTTCCACATTGTTCAACAGCTGCTTTATACTATCTAAAGAATCCAGAAGGAGAAAGAGAAGCTCTCCAGACTGTGTACAAACCAGGTGCACAATGAAAGAACGCCCACAGTGTTGAGATTAAGCGCACAGTTATCCAAGTGTACTTTCAAATTTTGACTTCTCAAATGTGGTCCTAAATCCACATTTACAGCTGAAGTGTGAAATAACAGTCCTAACAGCCCCGCCGTGAAAACAGCCAGTTCCTTCCTTATGCTTTACCCCTCATTCTTCTGTTTACTCCCTTTGATAAAAGCTTTTCATTACTTGTTTCTGTGTTTTGTTGTTGTTTGCTTTTTGAGACTCTGTTGCCCAGGCTGGAGTGCAGTGGCATGATCTCGGCTCACTGCAACCTCCGCCTCCTGGGTTCAAGCAATTCTTCTGCCTCACCCTACTGAGTAGCTGGGATTACAGGCATATGCCACCACATCCAGCTGATTTTTGTATTCTTAATAGAGATGGGATTTCACCATGTTGGGCAGACTGGTCTGGAACTCCTGACCTCAGGTGATCTGCCTGCCTTGGCCTCCCAAAGAGCTGGGATGACAGGTGTGAGCCACCATGCCCAGCTTCGTTACTTTCAATGACTCACACGGCACAGGACCTTTTTTTTTTTTTTTTTTTTTGAGATGTAGTCTCGCTTTGTTACCCAGGCTGGAGTGCAGTGGCGCAATCTCGGCTCACTGCAACCTCCACCTCCTGGGTTCAAACAATTCTCCTGCCTCAGCCTCCCGAGTAGATAGGACTACAGGTGTGCGCCACCACACCTGGCTAATGTTTGGATTTTTAGTAGAAACGGTTTCACCATGTTGGCCAGGATATTCTCAATTTCCTGACCTCAAGTGATCTGCCCGCCTGGGCCTCCCAGAGTGCTGGGATTACAGGTGTGAGCGACCGTGCCTGACCTTTTAAAGAAATTTTTAAGAGCACAATGTGTACATTTCTGCTCAACAACATTTAGCTCACTGACTTATGGCAGTCATTAGAAACTGATGGCGCAGGGTCAAGTTAAAATGACAGTCCTCTTACTCTGCCAGTTCAGTCTATCTATTAATCCTGGGGTTCCTGATGTCGGGCCTGACCTGGGATAGTGGGTACACATGGTCTGCAGCCCCCAGTTCTCAATCAGGACCCACAGCTTGCATTTATGTTATGATCACCTGTCAAACTCAGGAGTCAAAACCACAAAGAAGCCTGTGTGTGCCGTCTAACTGTGTGCTGTGTAACTGTGTGCTGTGCAACTGTGTGTGCCGTGTAACTGTGTGCCGTGTAACTGTGTGTGCCGTGTAACTGTGTGCCGTGTAACTGTGCGTGTCGTGTAACTGTGTGCTGTGTAACTGTGTGTGCCGTGTAACTGTGTGTGCCGTGTAACTGTGTGCTGTTTAACTGTGTGTGCCGTGTAACTGTGTGCCGTGTAACTGTGTGTGCCGTGTAACTGTGTGTGCCGTGTAACTGTGTGTGCCGTGTAACTGTGTGCTGTGTAACTGTGTGTGCCGTGTAACTGTGTGCTGTGTAACTGTGTGTGCTGTGTAACTGTGTGTGCCGTGTAACTGTGTGCTGTGTAACTGTGTGTGCTGTGTAACTGTGTGTGCCGTGTAACTGTGTGCTGTGTTAAGGCCACGCACAGGCATGCCATGTGCGACACAGGCCGCCAGGAGTAGCTCCGGGCCCTCCCCTGCCTCGCTCACCTTGTATCACGGGGGCTTCTGACTCACTCTGATCAACCAGCTCTGAAAATGAAGCAGATTGGTTTAAATAATGTAAGGACATTGTCGTTCCCTCAGAAAGCATTTTAACACACACTTGCTGTTTCCCTCCAGATGAGAAGGAAACAAGCCTTGGAGTTCTGCTATGTCCCTCACAATCACTAATTCATAGTAATTATTATAAAACCTTCTTCCACACTACTGCACAAGAACAGGAACAAAACAGAACACTTTGCTTATTTTTTGAGATGGAGTTTCACTCTTGTTGCCCAGGCTGGAGTGCACTGTTGCATTCTCAGCTCCCTGCAACCTCCACCTCCAGGATTCAAGCAATTCTCCTCCCGAATAGCTGCCTATTCCTCCTCCCTGCCTCAGCCTCCCGAATAGCTGGGATTACAGGTGTGCGCCACCACACCCAGCTAATTTTTGTATTTTTAGTAGAGATGGGGTTTCACCGTGTTGGACAGGCTGGTTTCAAACTCCTGGCCTCAAGCGATCCATCTGCATCAGCCTCCCAAAGTGCTGGGATTATAGGCGGGAGCCACCATGCCTGGCCAAAATCAAACATTCTAAACATCAACTTAGAGGGCAAATAGGCCTAAAAGATAACATTCTTTGGAAACAAAAAATGATTCAGTAGAAGGATGAACTCAGGTTTTTAAAAGATGCAAAGAAAAAAATTACCAGGAGGTTTCTTTCCCTGGTGTGATTAAGCTGAATGTCACAGACATGATTCACACACCATGAAACGAGGTCTACCAGTCCTGAATGACTGACATCACCAGATAAACACGCTTGTCCAGAGAGAAGGTGGACTAAAAACAGAGCCTCTCCAGTGAACTCAGGGTCTGTGCTACCGCAAATGAGTCAACTGTATGTTAAAGTGAGACTCAAAGCTTGGTGGCAGAAGACACATCACTGAGTCCATGATACCAGAAAGTGAACGGAAGCTGAAGAACACGGTCAGCAGTGTGGGCAGAGAACGGCAGGGGCGGGCGGAGAACCGCAGAGGGAACCACCCCAGGGCTCATCAGGGTCTCGCGTGGCTGCATTGACACAGGCCTGGAAAGCTCTACACCTGCCACTCAAGTGCTTCCCCTTCCAAAGAGTAAACTACAGAATTGATGGATCACTGCCGGTGGATTTTAAAGGGTTAAAACAATGAACCTCCACCAGAAAAAAACTGAAATGCTCAGGTATTAGAAAAATATGAGTCTCACTTTGAAATATATATATTTTTGAGACGAGTCTTGCTCTGTTGCCCAGGCTGAAGTGCAGTGGCACGATCTGAGCTCACCACAACCTCCGCCTCCCAGGCTTAAGCGATTCTCTCGCCACCGCCTCCCAAGTAGCTGGGACTACAGGCGTGCACCACTATGGCCGGCTTCTTTAGATTTCTGGTAGAGACAGGGTTTCACCATGTTGGCCAGGCTGGTCTTGAACTCCTGACCTCAAGTGATCTGCCTGCCTTGGCCTCCCAAACTGCTGGGATTACAGGCATGAGTCACCTTGCCTGGCCTTGCTGTTATACTTTTTTTTTTTTTTTTTTTTTTGAGATGGAGTCTCACTCTGTCGTGATATTGGCTCACCGCAACCTCCGCCTCCCAGGTACAGGGAATTCTCCTGCCTCAGCCTCCCGAGTAGCTGGGACTACAGGCGTGTGCCACCACGCCCACCTACTTTTTGTATTTTTAGTAGAGACGGGGTTTCACCATGTTAGCCAGGATGGTCTCGATCTCTTGACCTCGTGATCCGCCCGCCTTGGCCTCCCAAAGTGCTGGGATTCCAGGCGTGAGCCAGCGCTCCCGGCCAACTTTTACACATTTTTAATAATGAAGTTAAGAAAACAAAACAGACCCACAAAATTAAATTTTGTGGAAAATACTATTGAAAATGACACGAGCGTGAAGGAACTAACAGGACACTGACATGTGTTCACTCATTCAGCAGTATCTGAGAGCCCAACGTGTGCCAGGCACTGTGCCCAAACAGTAATAGAAGCAGGCACATTAAATGACTTCCTTTGTCACGAAATTCAAGCCCAGTAATTGTAACAGCCATAAAGGCAGTAATAAATAGAGGCTGTATTTGCTGAGCCCATGCCGCAGGCGAAGCGCATACTACAGGCTAAACACTATTCTAGGTTAGGGGCTGCAAATGTTTTTTCGTACAGAGCCAGTCAGTAGTAAGTATGTTAGATTTTGCAGGTCATACATTTGCTGCTGTGACCTCTCGATTCTGCCATTAACAAATGGACACAATAGTGGTTTCAATAAAACTTTATGCGCACACATCGGCAGGCGCTTGCTGACCCCTGTTCTGGCTGCTTTCCATCTGCTGGAAACCTCCCCTGCCCAAAGTGGTGCTATTATTACCATTTCATGATTAAGTACATCGAGGAAAAGTTAAGGAGTCTGAATCATTTTATAACCAGGAAATGCCTGGTGTTTTTACTGAGGGCTAAGACAACTATCTGGCCTGGTGACTGACGTAGTGAGGTAACATGAGATACTGTAAGCACGTACACACACTCACACACACACACATCAGACCCCGGGAAAAACAAAAAGAAAAATGCGTCACAAAATACTCACGGTTATTAATCACAAGTCCTGGAAATGGTCTAAAGAGAGAAACAAATTGTAAAGTAGAACAATTTATTTCCACTCCACAAGAATGTACAGGTATCATTGTTTATCCAGCTCACACCCAGCCCATATCACTTACGTACTACCACAAGAAATATTACCCACAACCTTGTAAACTTACGGAAGAGATAGATATGTATGAATAATGAGAACATGGTTAGAAAATGCTTCACAATAAAATGGAAAAAAAAACAAAAAAAAGAAACGCAGGGCAGGGAACAGAGTGACTCAAACGCCAGATTGGAAGAGGCTTTTTGCTTAACTCCTGGGAATGATACGGAGAATGGCCATGGGCGAAGCGGAACAAAAATTTTGGGGGAAGGAAGGATGGAAGATGAGTGAATGAGAAGAAGCCTCAAGAGGATGTATTATGAGACTTCTGAGTGCCAGTCCTAAGAGACCTGAACTAGAGACAGGGGCAACTGGATGAACGGATTGGGTAGGTGGAGTCGTAGTAAGTGTCTGGGGCTGGAAGGGAACCCGGGATTGGGGCTCAGCTGGGCATCTCTTACCGAGACAAGGACATGGGAAGGAATGTGGTGTTCACAATGCCGTTGGGGGTGGGTACAATCATCAGGCCTATTCATATGGACAGGAGCTGACACTCTCAACGGGGACAGTGACCACTCTCATTTACAGACAACTAACAGAGTGACCTGGCTAACAAATGGCTGATGTGAGGTGGAATCTGCCTGACCCAAAGCCCGTGACAAGGCGCCCTAAGACAGAGGTTGGCAAGGCTTTTCTGGTTTTGTTTTGTTTTTGTTTTTTTCTTTTTGTTTTTTTTTGGCAACCCCCACCCGCCTTTTCTGGTTTTGAGATGGAGTCTCACTCTGTAGCCCAGGCTGGAGTGCAATGGCGCAATCCTGGCTCACTGCAAACTTCGCTTCCCAGGTTCCAGCAATTCTCCTGCCTCAGCCTCCCCAGTAGCTGGGATTGCAGGCACCTGCCATCATGCCTGGCTAATTGTTGTATTTTTGTAGAGACAGGGTTTCACCATGTTGGCCAGGCTGGTCTTGAACTCCTGACCTCAGGTGATCCACCTGCCTCAGCCTCCCAAAGTGCTGGGATTACAGGCCAAGGTTTTTCTATAAAGTGCTAGAGAGTCAATATTTTAGACTCCGGAGGCCATGCTGTGTCAGTCCCAGCTACTTACCCCCTGTGACAGGAAAGCAGCCATGAATAACATGGATGTCACTGTGTTTCAATAAGACTCTAAAGACAGGAGGCAGGCTGAAGTTAGCCAACAGTTCCCGTTTGCCAACGCTTAGGCAGAAGAGCATCTAACATTCTAACAACAAAACAAGTTCTCTCCCTTTATTCATTGCACTGCATAGGACGCTTGATTCAATGGCTACCTGGGACTGCATTTAGATGACTCAGCCTCACGAGCTCCGGATTTGTTCCCGTGACTAAGCCGGAAACTCTCACTTACCTAATGACCGTGAATTTGATAAACTCGGCAGAATCTAAGATCCTTCTCATGGAGCTGATTTCCAGGTAGCTGGGGGCTTTGAAGGACACCCCAGGGGGCATACCATCAACCACCACACAGCCAGGGTTAATTGTGATTTTCCTGTAGGGGACTTTCACAGGAAAACCCATACCAATAGCTTCACCTACAGTGACAGGGAGACAAACAGCAGACGTTAACCTATGACTTTAACAAGTCTGTAAAAGGCACAAGATCAACATTTATTTTAAAGACTGTCTCTGTTGTTAACTAAGATCTTTGTACACTTCAAACAAATTTAAATATAAACCTGAATTTTTTTGTTTTTTGTTCTTTTTTGGAAACAGAGTCTCACTCTGTCGCCCAGGCTGGAGTGCAGTGGCTTGATCTCAGATTCAAGCAATTCTCCTGCCTCAGTCTCCTGAGTAGCTGGGATTACAGGCGTGCATTATCATACCCAGCTAATTTTTTGTTATTTTTTTGGTAGAGACAGGGTTTTACCATGTTGGCCAGGCTGGTCTTGAACTCCTGGCTTCAACTGATCCACCCGCCTCAGCCTCCCAAAGTTCCGGGATTCCAAGCATGAGCCACACTGCCAGATGGTGAACCTTAAATTCATTAACTTTCATACTGACCATCAATAGTATAACACTAATGGTATCTTATTAAATAAATTTAACACAAACAAAACATTCATTCATTCTGAGATGGAGTTTTGCTCTTGTTGCCCAGAATGGAGTGCAATGGCACGATCTCGGCTCACTGCAACCTCTGCCTTCCGGGTTCAAGCGATTCTCCTGCCTTAGCCTCCCAAGTAGCTGGGATTACAGGCAGCCTCCCTCATGCCCAGCTAATTTTTGTATTTTTAGAAGAGACGGGGTTTCTCCATGTTGGTCAGGCTGGTCTCAAACTCCTGACCTCGTGATCCACCCGCCTCGGCCTCCCAAAGTGCTGGGATTACAGGTGTGAGCCACCACACCCAGCCTAACACTTACTTTTACATTTTAATTCCTTTTACACAGGAAGATTACAACCACCTAACCATTACATGCTGAAATGATCTTATTAAAACAAATTTCTTTGCTTCTTCCAATTGTACTTTGCAAATGCAAAACTTACCAAATTTCCGACTGAAGAGATCATTCACCTGTTCTCTTAGCTGTCTGGCTTTTTCCACTTTCGAGAGTCTTTCATTATCATCATCTAAAACAGTTCAGAGAAAACCTAAAACTTAAATACTGCTTTTTTTTTTTTTCCTTTTTAGTAAAGAGATGGTATCTTGCTATGTTGCCCAGGCCAGCCTCGAACTCTTGGGCTCAAGTGAACCTCCTGCCTTAGCCTCCCAAGTAGCTGGGACTACAGGTACAAGCCACTGCTCAGATGCACTTTTCAGCCCAAATTTTAGGAGCCCTGTGTAATAATGTTTTTAAGCATTTTCCATTTTTTAATGATTAAAGTATTTGAGCATTTTGAACTAATCAAATTTGGAATTGTTTAAAATCATTCCTAACTAAAAATGCTACATACTTACTCTTGTTATAAAGACCTTTATCTGCTGTTACAAACAGATTTTCTTTCCCTCCAGACAGAGTGTCACGCCCTGACCCCCTTGCTAGAGTGCAGCGGCAGCATCTGGGCTCACTGCGACCTCTGCCTCCCGGGTTCACACGTCTCCTGCCTCAGCCTCCCGAGTAGCTGGGATTACAGGTGCGTAGTACCACACCTGGCTACTTTTTGAGATGGAGTCTTGCTCTGTCACCAAGGCTGGAGTGCAGTGGCGTGATCTTGGCTCACTGTAACCTCCGCCTCCTGAGTTCAAGCAATTCTCCTGCCTCAGTCTCCCAAGTAGCTGGGATTTTAGGTGCGCGCCACCACGCCCAGCTAATTTTTCTATTTTTAGTAGAGACAGGGTTTCACCATCTTGGCCAGGCTGGTCTTGAACTCCTGATCTTGTGATCCACCTGCCTTGGCCTCCCAAAGTGCTGGGATTACAGGGGTGAGCCACTGTGACTGGCCATTTTTTTTGTATTTTTAGAAGAGACAGGGTTTCACCGTGTTGGCCTGGCTGGTTTTGAACTCCTGACCTCAAGTGATCCTCCCGCCTCAGCCTTCCAAAGTGCTAGGATTACAGGCGTGAGCCACCGCGCCCGGCCTTATATAGACTGTTTTAAGGAACAGACGGACCTTTGGGTGGTTAATGGGTTCTAGCTCATGCCAAGTGCCAGAACTTGCTGGAGCTGTTTGGAGAGCAACTGTTTTGCAAAAGCAACTGGCACAGGGGTCTGGGAGGAGTGCCAGGCAATGTGCAACATATCCCAGTCCCTGAATGAGCTGAGCAAACTGCCCTGGCCGGGAAAGTCCAAGAGACCCCAAAGAGACCCCCACAAACTATGACAGAAGCAGAGAAATCATACCTGGAATTGTCACCTGAATGATGTTAAGGTCTTCAACACCCGATGCAGTAGTATTAACATTGGGTGATGAATTTATTTTTCCTGAAAATATGAATTTAAAATCAGAATTTATAGAAAACATGGTCAGCATCTCTCATACAGGCTGAGACTGTTTTATCTCAGTCCTGCTCACGGTTCTTTCTTTCTGTGGTACATCATTCCAAGAAGCCATTCTCCTCCCTGAAAGGCCGCTTTTCACTATTTTTCTCTTCCTGGTGATGCTTAGGAGAACATCACACACACAGAGGCAATCAATTACCGAAGAACTAAAAACTGAAATAGCCCAAACTATTGGGCTGTGAATGGGTTTTCCTTCCCCCTTTACTCCCTGAGATGGAGTCTTGCTCTGTTGCCCAGGCTGGAATGCAGTAGTGCAATCTCTGCGCACTGCAACCTCCGCCTCCTGGGTACAAGTGATTCTCCTGCCTCAGCCTCCTAAGTAGCTGGGATTACAGGCACCCGCCACCACGCCCAGCTAATCTTTTATACTTTTAGTAGAGACGGGGTTGGCCAGGCTGGTCTCGAACTCCTGACCTCATGTAATCCACCGCACCCAGCCTCAATGGCTATGCTTTAAACAGCTTTTGTAAACCACGGCTGTACGACACAAGCCTAAGAGCATTCTACAGCCACGAAAATGCAGAGAAGACACTCACTGGGAGGACTCTTAGAGGAAGTGCTCTCCTTAATCGCCGTCTCAAACATTTCGGGCCTACAGACAAAAGAGAAAAAAAAAATGTGCTGATCAAACAGTGACGTTAAAAATGTAAACAAGTCAAAGATTTACAAACTGGTAACTGTCAGTCTAAATTCAAGTCTTAGTAATGAAGAACAGGAATCCCACGGTCATCTAAAGAACCACAGGCAAAAAGACAAACTACAATTGTAAGTTTAACAATCATCGCTGCCCCTCTTTGGCTGCCGTCCCCCATGGTGGTTTCATGGACATCTTCTGCCCAAGGTTACAATGTATCCGGAACAGAATCAGCGCCAGACTTGAGGATGGAAACCTATCGCCCCACGTGTGCAGCAAGGAAACAGAAGATGGGCTGTGAAAACAGGAGCCCTTGAGACTCTCGCAGTGAGCAGAAGCAGAGGGCATGGAGGCTGCCCAACCTCTGCAGACCTGACCGAAGTATAGCAGGTGGCCACTATGCTCGGCAAGGCTGGCTTTGCTTGAAAGCATCCCTGGGTGACTCAAAATTAAGCCTAACACCAAGTCCATGGAACCTAAAATTCATTTCAGTTGATTCATGTGCATTAGCACATACTTTAAAATTTTAATTCTTCTTTTTTTTTTTTTTTTTTTTTTGAGACAGATTCTCAGTCTGTTGCCCAGGCTGGAGTGCAATGGCACGATCTTGGCTCACTGCAATCTCTGCCTCCTGGGTTCAAGTGATTGTCCTGCCACAGCCTCCCAAGTAGCTGGGATTACAGGCGCCTGCTACCAGGCCTGGCTAATTTATTTTTTATTTCCGTATTTTTAGTAGAGATGGGGTTTCACCATGTCAGCCAGGCTGATCTCGAACTCCTGACCGCAAGTTATCTGCCCGCCTAGGCCTCCCAAAGTGCTGGAATTTATGGCTGCACCAGGCCCATTACTATTTATTTTAATTATGTTAGCCTAAGCCATACATGTTCAACCAAGCAGGAGAAATTAAAAATACTCTATTAAGTTGGAGAAATAAAAGGACTTTAGAAAACTGAACAGTGGCTCAGATTCTAGCAGCATCAGGCTGCAGCAACACGGCTGTGCACATTTAGCAACCGAAAGTCATCATCTCTGTGGTAGGCTGGAGTCCTCCTTCCCTTCTACTAGCAGCAGAAGGAAAATTTCCTTTTCTTTTCTTTCTCTTTTTTTTCTTTTTTTTATGAGATGGGAGTTTTGCTCTTGCTGCCCAGGCTGGGGTGCAGTGGCGCAGTCTCGGCTCATTGCAACCTCTGCCTTCCAGTTCAAGCCTCCACCTCCCAGGTTCGAGTGATCATCCTGCCTCGGCCTCCCGAGTAGCTGTGATTACAGGCACGCGCCACCACTTCCGGCAAATTTTTGTGTTTTTACTAAAGATGGGTTTTGTCATATTGGCCAGAATGGTCTCACACTCCTGACCTCAGGTGATCTGCCTGCCTCTGCCTCCCCAAGTGCTGGGACCACAGGTGTGAGCCACTGCGCCTGGCCAGAAAATTGCAAACATATACAAGAGTGCAGCTTAAAAAAGAGCTTTTCTGACTAATTCAGCCCTGCCACAAACACAGACTTATCTCCCAGTGTCAAACACAACCCACTCACGCTAACCCCACTCCATCCGATTCCCTTACTTTTTAATGATGAACTTAATTTTGGCTTTATTTCTGAGTATCTTCTCCAGCCTTGGAATGCCAAAAGTAGATGGTCTTCGGAACGGGACACCCTCAGGTAAGCCTTCCACATAAAAGTCTTCTGGGAAAGACTCAAACAATGCGAATGGCACCTTCACAGCTTGCTTAAGGCCAAGAGCTTCCCCTGCAAAACAGCCGCGTACACAGAACAAAACATGGGAGTAATGACGCCATTCAAGCCTGAAAAATCCACACACCGCCAAGCACAGGGACACTCCAACATCCAGGATCTCATTCTGCTCCCTTCTCCTCCACGAAGACAACCCCGAGCTTCAGTAAGAACGTTTCAAAACGGACTTACCGCATTTCTCATTGAAGAGATTTTCAACTTTCTGTTTTAGGTCCGTGATTTTGGCATTCCAGGCCTCTGCATACAGAACGTAAGAGAGTTAAATTGCAATATGAATCACAGTACTTATCAGCATACGTTCACAGGCAGGGATGTTCCATCTTCTTTGTGCATCTTTAAGAAGAAATAAGGCGGGTACGGGGGCTCATGCTGGTAATCCCAGCACTCTGGGAGGTGGGCGGATTGCCTGAGGTTAGGAGTTCGAGACCATCCTGACCAACATGGTAAAACCCCATCTCTACCAAAAATACAAAGAAAATTAGCCAGGTGTGGTGGCATGTGCCTGTAATCCCAGCTACTCAGGAGGCTAAGGCAAGGGAATTACTTGAACCAGGAAGGTGGAAGTTGCAGTGAGCCGAGATCACGTCACTGCACTCCAGCCTGGGTGACAAGAGTGAGATTTCACCTCAAAAAAAAAAAGAAGAAATAAAAAATGCATAATCCTTCATGCCTATAATCCCAGCACTTTGGGAGGCCAAGGTGGGCAGATCACAAGGTCAAGAGACGAAGACCATCCTGGCTAAGATGGTGAAACCCCATCTCTACCAAAAACATAAAAATTAGCTGGGCATGATGGTGGGTGCCTGCAGTTCCAGCCATTCAGGAGGCGGAGGCAGGAGAATTGCTTGAACCCGGGAGGGAGAAGCTGCAGTGAGCTGAGATCGCGCCACTGCACTGCAGGCAGGTCTCAAAAAAAAAAAAAAAAAGAATAATCTTTTACCACTATATGACTTGACAATTACTCCTATCCTGATACGTACGCAAACTCTTTTCATACATTACTTTTATGTCAGCTACAAGTAAGTGAACAAATGCTAAAATAAAGAAAAAACCAAATGAAAACCCCCAAAAAGCCCCCGCAAATTATAGCGTCTACTACATGCGAGGTATGGTTCTTAGTACGTTAAATGACAGTACTTATGACCTCATAATAACCTCACGAGAAAGAAAGAAATGTTATCCCCATTTTGCATGAAGGGAAACTGAGGCAGGGAGCATTCACCTGCCCAAGTGACATCAGATCTGAACAAAGATCTGAACTCAGGCAGTCTAGTTCTATAGTCCATTCCTTTAACCGTTGATGTACGCCAACTCACAAATAAGAACGATTCACCTGGTAAAATAAAACATGATTAACTTCTTCTATTTAAAATGATTAAACACAGAAAAATAAAACGCATGCTTACCAAAGGAAAACTCTCTGCCTCGCGGCTTGAAGGGTACGTTAGAACCGTTAGTCTGGGTAGGGGTTCGAACAGCTGAGGTTTGAGGATTGTTGTTATTAGGGCCTAAAGGAGTGAAAATAGTGATAATCAACGCACACTGAATGACGCAGGTGTCTCTAGGCTACAATCTTCAAGTCTAGCCTGTGCCGGAAAACAAAGCTGGGTTCAAATGGAAATGGGCATTCCTGTTGTTCCTGTGGGTTCCACAGAAACTCATTTTTCTGCTTCTGCCCCTGCAGCCTGGTACTTCCACCCAAAAGGGAACTCGCTTACTGGCTGGTCTGAGAGCATTAATCTCACTCAGTGCATCACCACGCCTTTTTGAAACCATCTCATTTTTCGTTTCCTATGTCTGCTTACATGTTTTAACGCCTGAACAGAAGCACAACTTTAGGTACCACTATCTCTATAATGAAGCTTTCTTTTGGATTCTCCATCAGCTCTGACATATCGTTTCTTTTAATTCTTACAACTCAAAAATAATGCTCAAGTCCAGGTGTGGTGACTCATGCCTATAATTGCAGCACTTTGGGAGGCTGAGGCGGATGGATCACCTGAGGTCAGGAGTTCGAGACCAGCCTGGCCAATATGGCAAAACCCCATCTCTACTAAAAATACAAAAATTAGCCAGGCATGGTGGTGCACGCCTATAGTCTCAGCTACTTGGGAGGCTGAGGCAGGAGAATCACTAGAACCCAGGAGGTGGAGGTTGCAGTCAGCTCAGATTGTGCCACTGCACTCCAGCCTGGGTGATACAGTGAGACTCTATCTCAAAAGAAAAAAACAAATAATGCTCAAATTTGTCAGCTCTTTTCTGCTACAGGAAAATGAATGCTAGCTCTATTTACCCATATAAACTCCAGACCTTGCCTTTCTTATTTAGGGACAGCTAATAAACAATCAAAGTAAGCTATTTTTCAACATATGAATGAGTCAAGATAATATAAAAATAAAGAAAAGTTAAGTTTCATCTGAATTCTTTAAGTTATAAAACACTCTTAGGATACATCTCAAAACTCCAAATTCCTTCATTTGCAGACACGTTTGTATGGACTCTGGGCTTTCACCTCAATTACTTTTGAAACGAGTTATTTACTCTGTATGCCTATCTCTGCATAATGACTTTTTCTTGATAAACAAATTTTGAGAAATACTATCAATAGCTAAGAGTGCATACTGGATGGAGGCTGGGCATGGTGGCTAATGCCTGTAATCCCAGCAGTTTGGGAGGCTGAGGCAGGCGGATCATAAGGTCAGGAGTTCAAGACCAGCCTGGCCAACGTGGTGAAACCCCATCTCTACTAAAAATACAAAAATTAGCTGGGCGTGGTGGCACCTGCCTGTGATCTCCGCTCCTCGGGAAGATGAGGCAGGAGAACTGCTTGAACCAGGACCTGGGAGGCAGAGGTTGCAGTGAGCTGGGGTCGCACCCCTGCACTCCAGCCTGGGCTAGAAAGTGATACGCCGTCTCAAAAAAAAAAAAAAAAAAAAAAGGGGGATACTGGTCGCCATACCAAGAGCGCCCTGTGAGCTAACCAATTCATTCTTACTGTTACCGTCTCTGCTTCAGCTGCGGAATGCAGAGCCACGGGGGCTGCATAACCTGGTGAGCGGTGGTGCTGGGCACAAACTTCCGAGTCTGTCTCCTTGGTGCCCTCACCCCCTGACACGCTGTGGACGGGAGCTTCACGAAGCATTTACAGATCTGAGCAAGGCCTGGCAGGCAAGCAGCACGCCATCGCCTATACAGCGTTCCGACCCAGCCTTCCAGCCATTAATGATGTCAGAACTCCTGAATCAGGACTGCCGCTTCCTTAGAAGCTGGTAACGAAAGCAAGGGGGGCCAGACCGGCCGGCTCTAGCAGTTGGGTTACGTGGCGGGTGCATCCACACAGAGGAGATCAGAACATTCCAGAACCACAGTTTTCTACCAGGCCAACATCCCTGCTTATTATACTGAAAGTTCATGAAGCAGCCTTTCACAGACAAGTGGGCAAGACGACACACGAGCAGAAGACACAAAGGAGGTGGCGGAACGATCTCATTCTTACATTAAATGAATCACTGGCATTCTAGGTTTACTTAAGTGAAGTCACACTCTACACCCACGAGCCTGACTACATTAAAAAGTTAACACCAGGCCGGGCGTGGTGGCTCACACCTGTAATCCCAGCACTTTGAGAAGCTGAGGAGGGCAAATCACGAGGTCAGGAGTTGGAGACCAGTCTGGCCAACATAGTGAAACCCTATCTCTACTAAAAATACAAAAAATTAGCCAGGCGTGGTGGTGCACACCTACAGTCCCAGCTACTCAGGAGGCTGAGGCAGGAGAATCGTGTGAACCCAGGAGGCAGAAGTTGCAGTGAGCCGAGATCACATCATTGCATTCCAGCCCAGCTGACAGTGCGAGACTCTGATTCAAAAAAAAAAAAAAGATCGTAATATAATTATTTCCTTCTGCATTTATGAAGAGATGGAAGAAATACCCATACTTGACAGGTGGTTGGAGATTGTCTTTGGTACTACATGCAGTATTTTAACACTGTGAGCCTGAAAAGGTGAGAACCCGCTGGCCACGATGGCTCACCTGAGGTCAGTAGTTCGAAACCAACCTGGAAAACATGGTGAAACCCCGTCTCTACTAAAGATATAAAAATTGGCCTGGTGAGGTGGCAGGCACCTGTAATCCCAGCTACTTGGGAGACTGAGGCAGGAGAATCACTTGAACCAAGGAGGTGGAGGCTGTGGTGAGCCGCGATCTCACCACTGCACTCAGCCTGGGCACAAGAGCAAGACTCCCATCTCAGAAAAAAGAAAAAGAAAAAGAATATACTTTCATTCAAGGCACTGCTAAACTTTCTTTCCTTAAAAGAATAGAAACAAAATGAAGAGGAATAAAAAGGTAAGATATTCCACGTGACTCTGCACCCTTACTTGCTGCAATAAAGAAACAGCATTTTAGGGCTTTTCTTGGGAGGAGTTTATGATGTGATCCATGTTATCTGTTTTCTGTTACTGGTTTAAAATTTTTCAATCAGAAACATTCAGAAATGTAGCTTTATCACAGACAGTTGTTCACATGTAAAACTGGTTTTATTAACTTCACCTGTGTAAACATATAGCTAGTGAACTGACCTAACTGGTAGCCTGGAGAATCTAAGAAACACTGGCCCTCACCTTCCACAGTGACCTCAATTTCAGGAACCTTTGAATTACTCCCAGGACTTCGTGGTCTTTTTGGGGACTGCAAAGCTGTAAAAGAAGCCAGAATTACTTTAGTATATTTTAAGGGGAAAAAAATACGGAAGGAGATGCTTTGTAAGAGCAGAGTATTAAAATTCATACAGTTTGGCTCTTTTCAAAGAAACTTGCAGAATGAAACTTGGAGTACAATCCTCCACAGCGGCCCAAGAAAGCTGTGAGAACATGAATGAAGGAGGATTGCAAATGTGACATTTCCAGTGAAATGTTTTGTTTTTTGTTTTTTTTTTTAAAAAAAGGAAGAAAGAAAGAAAAAGAGGCCCATTAAATATTAAATAAAATGCCTTATGAAGCAAAGTAACCAACTACAAGTCCCACAAAGATACCGGCCAACGATTCCATATGATTTAAGGAATCTGGATAAAGAATGTCTCAATGCACTCAAATAGAATAGAGTACACATCATCTCTTACCTTTAGTGTTTATTTTACTAGCCATTCCAGGAGGCAAGTAGGAAATAACTAGTTCAGGTCTAGAAAGAAAACCAAGAAATGTCACAGGAGCCAGTACAATGGCGTCTCACAGCTCGTACAACAGTCGTGATGTGACCAGGCTTTTTTATTCTAAAGGGGTTCACAGAAGTATCATGCAACACAACAATAATTCCTATTGTTGTGGACAAAAAACCCTGATTTTTTCCTTCCCATGACTGGTAAGTGATTTTATGAAGGGTAAATAAATAACTTCTTTCCTGAACAAAAAATAACAGTAGCGTACTTTCTTGGCCACTAAAATTCTGCAGAAACGTAGATAAGAAACTCAGTCATTAGGTTGGGTGTGATGGCCCACACCTGTAATCCCTGCACTTTGGGAGGCTGAGGCGGGTGGATCACCTGAGGTCAGGAGTTCAAGACTAGCCCAATACAGTGGCCAATACTCTGTTATTCTAAAAATACAAAAATTAGCCTGGTGAATCCAAGCTCCTTGTGAGGCTGAGGCATGAGAATTGCTTGAACCTGGGAGGCAGACATTGCAGTGAGTGGAGATCACATCACTGCATTCCAACCAGGGTGACAGAGCAAGACTGTCTCCAAAAAAAAAAAAAAGAAAGAAAAGAAAGAAACTCAATCATTGATATGTAGTTGCTCACAAGATTGGCCAGAAATAACAGAGCAGATAAAAACCAGCAAGTAGGCCAGGCACAATGGCTCATGCCTGTAATCCCAGCACTTTGCGAGGCTGAGGCGGGTGGATCACGAAGTCAAGAGATCGAGACCATCCTGGTCAACATGGTGAAACCCCGTCTTGCACCGGGCGCGGTGGCTCAAGCCTGTAATCCCAGCACTTTGGGAGGCTGAGGCGGGCGGATCACGAGGTCAAGAGATCGAGACCATCCTGTTCAACATGGTGAAACCCCGTCTCTACTAAAAATACAAAAAACTAGCTGGGCATGGTGGCGCGTGCCTGTAATCCTAGCTACTCAGGAGGCTGAGGCGAGAGAATTGCCTGAACCCAGGAGGCGGAGGTTGCGGTGAGCCGAGATCGCGCCATTGCACTCCAGCCTGGGTAACAAGAGCGAAACTCCGTCTCAAAAAAAAAAAAAAAAGAAAGAAAGAAATAACAGAGCAGATAAAAACCAGCAAGTTGGCCAGGCACGGTGGCTCACGCCTGTAATCCCAGCACTTTGGGAGGCTGAAGCGAGCAGATCACGAGATCAGGAGTTCAAGACCAGCCCGACTAACATGGTGAAACCACGTCTCTATTAAAAATATAAAAATTAGCTGGGCATGGTGGCGGTTGCTTGTAATCCCAGCTACTTAGGAGGCTGAGGCAGAAGAATCACTTGAACCCAGGGGGCAGATGTTGCAGTGAGCCAAGATCACCCCACTGCACTCCAGCCTGGGCGAGAGTGAGACTCCGTCTCAAAAAAAAAAACCAAAACAAACCTCAAATTAAACTTCAAGTACTCAGGCATACTGTGGTCACCACAGTGCCTTGGAGTGACACCTCAGAGGCCATCGTCACTATTTTCCTTTCACTGATGAGGATGACAGAGGACAGGCTGGGAGACTGCAGCTCAGAGGCAGGCTTTTCCATCAAGGACTCACACCCACGCCTGTCACCTCTGGCTAGAAAACCTAATAAACAAAAACGCCGTTTTAGATTGTTTTAATTCCAGAAATGACTACAGTGGCAAAGATCACTTACTTTTTCACAACGAACTTGATTTTGTTACTCCCACGCACAATCCTTTCAAGTCGTGGAATTCCGAACCAGGTAGGGCTTCGAAAGGGGATGCCCTCTGGCAAGCCTTCTACATACAGGAACTCAGGGTTCGATTCAAACACAGGATATGGTACTTTCACTGCCTCGGTGAGTCCCAGAGCTTGAGCTGAAAGCGCAAGAGAACGGAACGTGCGGAGGGTCACACGTGACACGGGCATTCTTTCATTTGTACCTGCATTCCCAAGCACACCGTGGACAACTTCCCTACGATGGAGCAATATCCGCTCCATAGGGAAGGCGTTTTGCTTAGGATATTGGGCACAGCAGAAGAACGAGCCTAAAAAGTCAGGATTTTAGGAGGAACATCTGAACGCTTTAAATCAGAAGGAGAGTTACTAGTCAAAACGACCTCTGTGCTCGGGGCAGAAATGACGGAAGGCCACTCCACACAGCAGTGACCCCTGCCGGCCTTTGCGTTATCATCGGGAGGAGGGGCGCCTGTTCAAAAAACACGCGGTGTCTGCCACACACTAAGCAGCACTCAGTTGGAGCGGCCAGAGGCAAGGCAGTGAGGACTCCTGATCTGGGACAAGAAACGTCACAGCACAGATGGAGATCATGGACAGGAGCGCCCGGGGACGCTGCGACCACTGCCCGCTCCTCACTTCCTTCTCCACGACAGAACACCCGATCAACCGAAACGCTCTTGCCGAGCCCCCTCAGAATCCTTCTCAAGACGGCACTCCAGAAAACCGCTGTCAACAAATCTAAGCTGAAACAAACGATGAACCCTATTTGCCACATGGCTGTTAGCCAGATTGGAAGTGAACTGCGAGTTATCCCACGCCCCCCTTCCTCTCCCATTCTGACAACTGAGAAGGCGGAATTCAGGAGAGAGGAAGTCGTCTGCTTGTTTTCAGTAGCAGGTGTAGTGGTGGAAAACCGAGTTTCTGGGACCTTCCTTCTTTAGGTCCTGAACTTCTGTACTTCATTCAGACATGGCCCTTCATTGATATGTTATTAAAGACATAAATGCTGGATGCTACTTACCAAATTTCAGATTAAAAATCTCTTCCACCTGCTTCCGTAACTTGGTAATTCTGACATTCCAGTCTTCTTTGACTGGAAAACAAAAATAAGCCCAATTAACCATGTGACTGATCGGCGCTGCTGCAGATCAGAATGGATTTCCCCGGAATGTACCCTTGCTTATAGTGATTCTCTTAATTCAGTTTTGTTAAAAACAAAAATTGCGGGTCTTAAGGAAATGAGTAATTTCCAGTACTTGCCAAATATCAGAAAAACTGCAGAGAGGCAGAATTTACTTATTTATTTATTGAGAGACGGATCTACCTATGACGCCCAGGCTGGAATGCAATGGCATGATCTCAGCTCACTGCAACCTCCACTTCCTGGGTTCAAGCAATTCTCCTGCCTCAGCCTCCAGAGTAGCTGGAATTATAGGTGTGTACCACCACGCCGGGCTGATTTTTGTATTTTTAGTAGAGACAAGGTTTCACCATTGGCCAAGCGGGCTGCGAATGCCTGGCCTCAAGCGATCCACCTGCCTTGGCCTCCCAAAGGGGTGGGATTACAGGTATGAGCCACCACACCTGGCCTAGAAAGACAGAATTTAAGTTTATATTGTAAATAAAATGAAATTTGCCCACATGAAAGAGTGCTCTGAATCAGTGTTTCTCACATATTCCTCCTTGGAGAAGTCCCTTGGGAGCTCTGTCATGACAGGGAGGCCAGCTGCGGAAGGTTCCAGCGCTCCCACACCAGCCAAACAAGAGTGACTTCACTTCTGTTTGCTTTTTCTACAGGCAGTCCTTGTTTTATCTAACAGATGTGTGCCGAGAAATCCACATAAAGCAACACTTCACCAATCAAAGCGAGTTTTCCCATCAGAAACCAATGATAAAGGGACGGAATTCATGTGGGGGTTGGAGTGGAGGCAGGTGTGCGTGGGTCCAGCAGACGGAAACACAGCTGCCAAGGCTGGCCTGGCCTGAGCTGCTGCGGGAGGCGTGGGGAACTCTGCCTGCTACACTGTGATGCTGGACAGAGAGCTGTCATCTTCCACCAAGTCCATGAGTTCAGGACACTGTGACAGTGGATGGAACTCACTTCCTCATCCCATGGAAAAGAAAGCAATCGTCTCTGACTGCTGCTCTTGACCACGTAACATGCCAGTCATCACTGTGAGCAAACTCTGTCACCATCATACGGTGTCCTCTTCCCGCCTGTTGCTGGCCGCGTCCGAGCATCTTCTGAGCATCAGAGACGCCAATGAAGAGAGTGTGCTGCCGTCCATCACCGCAGAGCTCCTCGAGCCAGGGGTGGCTCGGCTGAGGCTGGAGAACTGATCACGCGGGGACAGCTGAGCTCCAGACAGGTAAGCCATCAACTTCGGAGAAGGCAGCAACCTTTGGGCTCCTCCCGGATGCTATGACCTTGGACGTGACCTTCAGGAAGGCGTTTGCAGAAGCAGTCGAAGCCAAATAGGTAGCTCAGCAGGAAGGAGAGCAGGCCAGATGCGTGGTGGCAAAAGCCGAGCAGCAGAAGGCGGCGGCCATCATCTCTGCCAAGGGCGACTCAAAAGCAGCAGAGTTCATTGTCAGTTCAGCAGCCACTGCAGGTGACGGCCTGATCAAGCCCACAAGCTGGAACCATGGAGGACACTGTGTAACGGCCCTCGGACTCGCAGAACTCACCCAGTTGCCCACGGGGCCATCCGAGCTCTTCCAGCTGCCCCAGTGCAGGAGCACCCTGCCTCACACCTCCTCCAGCCAACTGGGCCACACCACCAATGTCCTCTGCCACTGCCTTCCTTCTGACCCCACCCCAGACATCACCGAGCAATTTCACAGATGGCTTAAAGCAAAAGACATAAAAGGAAAAATCACTTCAAAAAAAAGTAAGCCATGGTAAAAGGGGGACAGCACTCAGCGTCACTCACAGGGACAGTGGAGTTTATGGTCCTACCCAAAGAAAAAACACTCATGTGGACGGTGTTCAGGGCTGGGGTGGACGGGGGCGGACGAGGGCAGAGACAGACTTGGAGGATGACTGGAATGTTCCTGGATGAGGCAAGACGGGAAAGAGAGGGGAAAGGGTCGGGGTGGAGGGTTCGCCTCAGTATGGAGTTCATTTCTGTGACAAACGCAGTGGAAAATGTTGGAGAAGGACTGAAAGTATCGCTAAAGGTTGGTGGTTTCCGAAGACCTTGTAACATTTCCTTTACTTTAAAAGAAAACTTAGCATCTCAAGGGTTTAACGTGAGTTGCTTTTTCCCTGTGGATTTCAGAGGAGTTCATTCAGGCACAGAAAATAACTCCGGTATGAACCACATTTCAATACCACCAATAAAGACACCGGACTCTCCTCCTCCAAGGTCAAGCACGTCTCTTCACTTGCCACTCAGCCTCCTCTTCTGCCCCGCCCCCACCTCCTCTGACACTGGCTCCTCCCACGCAGGATGTCACACCCCACCTCACAGAGCCAGGTGCCTGCCTCCCACTCCATCACGTCCCTGGCTTCCACCACCTTCTCAGGTGTGACAGCTCCCTTTCAACAAGCTAAGGACAATGTGCACCCATGGTGTTGTTAAGCAGATGATTCTGATGGCCACAAAATTCTTTTGTCATGTGGTCTGTGACTTGAATTGTCCTGTCCAAAGACTAATGCATGGTCCACGGGCATGCCAAGTAAGGTTATATCAGAATGAGGAACCACCAAGCAGCTTTTATTCCTTCCAGGATCTTTTATGAATGAGACAAAGTCAAGTGCTGTTAGTGACAGCAAAAGTGGAGATTCTCCTTGTGGTGACAGCTGCTGCGCTCTGGTGACGATGGCAGATCCCGCACTGCTCCAGCACCCAATCCTTGCAGTGACTTCCAGGGCGCCTGCACATTCTTTATGTATCACAGGCTTCTACAGTCACTGTCACAACCGCCCCTGACAAGAGCGCTGAGTGCACGCCTCACAGCCTTGCAATTTGAGCTTTGTCTTGAGAAATGAAGGTTTCTACAGGTTTCATCATGTTCAGATTCATCCAAACTGAAGACCTGCCTCCTGGAAGATTTTTCTTTCTCCACCACTTCCCTGAGCAAAAAAAATGTGTCACTTCCAATCTTCGATTCTTCACCAATACTTTGTTGCCTTGACCAAATCAAAAGCATTTTGAGGTTAACCCACGAGTGAAGCGCTGACCTTCCCCTTCTCCAGCAGCAGGACTCCTGGACCAGGGTCACGTCACTACCCTCCTACAGAATTCCTCAACCACGTTCCATGCCATAACCCACACAAAATCCATGTGGCACACTGACCTTCACGAATGGCCACAAGGCCCTGTGGGAACTGAAGGAGCAGGATTTTAGGACACACCCATTAACGCAACTTGAAACATTTGTTCACCTTAGTGTTCATGAGCATGATGAACTGCATCAATCTTACACCTGATACACACACGAATCCATACTTGATTCCAAACACTCACTTCCTGACAACGGAACACTTCACCCTACAGGGTATGGCCATTTATTGGTTCTTGGCAACAGACGTTCCTAAGGTGGCTGATGATCTACAAATTGTGGTCACTTACTCTGACATTAACAACGGGGAAACAAAGAGAAACAGGCCAGGTGTGGTGGCTCACACCTGTAATCCCAGCCCTTTGGGAGGCCAAGGCAGGTGGATCACCTGACGTCAGGAGTTCGAGACCAGCCTGGTCCAACATGGTGAAACCCCGTCTCTACTAAAAATACAAAGATTAGCCAGGCGTGGTGGCACATGCCTACAGCTCCAGCTACTCAGGAGGCTGAGGCAGGAGAATTGCTTGAAACTGGGAGGCAGAGGCCCCACCGAGCCGAGATCGCACCTGCTGCGCTCCAGCCTGGGCGACAGGCTTAGACTTCATCTCAAAAAAAAAAAAAAAAAAAAAAAAGATAGGAAAGAAATAATAAAGGCACACTTAGAGCTCTAAGAAGGAAAATAACATCATTCAGTGAAGAGAGACTTCTTACATCTTTCCTATTAGGCTGATGTTTGTGTGCAGGCCAGAGTTACAGTCTTTGCCATTGTAGGAACAGGGTGCCTATGAATAACCATTAAGATCTCAATGCAGACAGTAGGTGCCATACCCGAGCAGTGGAAATGTTTCGGATGTGGCTACTTGGAATTGAAATACGCTGTGAGTATGAAAGACACGCAAATTGTCAAATAAAGAATATACGCTTACGAAATAAGGACCGTGAAATACTTAACTGTCTATTTCCTTTTTTTTTTTTTTTTTTTTTTGAGACAGAGTCTCACTCTGTCACCAGGCTGGAGTGCAGCGGTGTGATCTCGGCTCACTGCAACCTCCACCTCCCGGATTTAAGGAATTACCCTGCTCAGCCACCCGAGTAGCTGGGACTACAGGCCCGTACCACCACTCCCGGCTAATTCTTTTTTTTTTTTTTTTTTTTTAAATTTTTATTAGAGACGGGCTTTCACCATATTGGCTGGGATGGTCTCAATCTCTTCACCTTGTGATCTGCCCGACTCCGCCTCCCAAAGTGCTGGGATTACAGGTGTGTGAGCCACCGTGCCGGGCCGTGTGTTTCTTTATAATGATCACAGGCTGAACGAGAACGTGTAAAATTACGTAAGTGGCTTGCATTTGGGGTACACACTGTCTTTCTCGTGGGTAACAGTGGTCTAAGTGCAAAGCTTGAGCTATGCGCACCCTACAGGTGTTCACACTGACAAATCAAGACGTGCCTGGACTGAGCTTCTGCAAACGAGGTTTTGGGGAGGCGGGGAAAGGAGAATTTCCCTATTTTAAAAGATGACATCAATTTTGCAAAGCCTAAAAAGTATTGATCTGTGTTTTTAAAGAAGGATTCCACAGCTACTTTACCTGGCGTGTTTGTTCGTGGCTGAGTAACTTCAGTGGTACTGTGAGTCAGAAGTTCTGGTCTGAAAAACAGAGCCGGGATCACTAACAAGGCATTTAGAAGCAACTCATGGGCCTTTCTCACACCGCTGTGCACTGCCAATTATTTTTAAATATGGTTCATTCTGACTTCATTTTGTAGTGAAAAAAATCACTTTGCTGACTTGAGTTTATTTTGAAAATGGCAATGTTCAGACATTCAGGTGAGACCTTCAAAGTCATCTTATATTTAAGATAAACATGCAAAAGTCGCTTTGCCCCCAAAGCAGCTCAGTTCTGCTTCCGAATCTTAGCTGCACTGTCCCACGGCACAGCCAGAAGCAGCTTGCTGTATCATCTTAAACCTTTCCTCTCCCTTATAACTCAGTCCCAAGGAACACACAGAGGCACCACCCCAATCAGTAAGCAAGGTTTCCCTTCAGCATCCCTTCGATGAGTGGAGAGAGGCCTTCTGTTCCTACCCCTGCTCCCCAACTACCCACTGTGTTACCCTTCAAAATCAAGCCACAAGAACCTTTCTAAAGGGCAGATCCAAATGATTTTCAGAGGGATCTGCTTCGAGACCATTTCATGACTGCTTCTGCTTCTGTAAGGTCTGAGGTCTTCCTCCACTTGCCCACCACAGTCTACCCACGCGATCCCGCCACGCCCACGTGGCACTCCTCACTGCACACACGATGGGTGAGATACGTGGATATGCGGAGAGCTTTGCCAACCCCCACCCCCACTCATAGATTTCCTTGACTTGAAACACCTTCCCTCTCTGCTGGATGTACAAGTGAATGAACTGGGTACACCATCCTCACCTTCTCTAAAAATGCTCAATAACTCTTCATTGCATTTTTCTTTTTTTTTTTTTTTTGAGTTGGAGTCTTGCTCTGTCACCCAGGCTGGAGTGCGGTGGCGCCATCTTAGCTCACTGCAACCACCGTCTCCCTGGTTCAAGCGATTCTCTAACCTCAGCCTCCCAAGTAGCTGGGACTACAGGCACACACCACTGCATCCAGCTAATTTTTGTATTTTTAGTAGAGATGGAGTTTCACCATGTTGGCCAGACTGCTCTTGAACTCCTGACCTCAAGTGATCCACCTGCCTTGGCCTCCCAAAGTGCTGGGATTCCAGGCGTGAGCCTCCGTGCCCGGCCTTCATTGCATTCCTCTTTGTATGAATCCTCCCAAGGAAGGCATTCTTGTTAGACACAATTTTGCATATCTGATGTTTACACTAACAAGTATTTGTTCAATAAGTGAATCTAAACATTAATGCCTTCATCATAAATATAAAATAGTCACAATGAGGTAAACAAAAGACCCATCTTCATCAAATTAATCTTTTCTCAGGGAAGACGCTGAAACTGTTTCTGCAGATGATCGTCTTACCTTTTAATAACAAATTTAATGCGATTGCCCACTTGAATGATTTTTTCCAGCCTTGGGATTCCATACCACGAGGGGCTTCGGAAAGGAATGTTTTCTGGTAGTCCTTCCACGTACAGATCATTCGGGTGTGCCTCAAATTTTTGGTAAGGAACAGCCTTGGCTTCGGTGCTCCCCAAGGCTTCCGCTAGACGAAATCAAAGCAATTCGGGAGACGACATTTGTATTGAAATCAGATTTTAGTACAATCCAAAGCAAGGCACAGGTCAATATATTTTTTTAATTGAAAAAACTCTAGAAACGTATTTATTAACTATTGCATAGACTTCGTACAGCAAAGACAAGTAGAAATGACCCGTTATCAACAGCCACATTTTGGCAGATTTAAGTGTCCTGGTCCTAAGACCCTCTTAATAGCTCTGAGAGCTTAAAAGATTCACCTTTGTTTTTCGGTATCCTTAAGAAGAAAAGAGAGAAAGAAGATCACAACAGACAATAGGGAACATCACCTAAACACTGTCTGGAAGCAGCCTTTTATTACCGACTATTCAGGACCGTAATACAACCCTCCCTCCACTGGCCACTACGAACTGGCACATTTCAGGACATTCATCTGTACTGCAATCAGGAAACCAGTGCTCTTTACCCCTCCAACCTCGTGAGCATGTCATTTTAAGAAAATAACTTTCCACAAATAATTCATGGAATGAGGGCCAGGCACGGTGGTTCACACCTGTAATCCCAGCACTTTGGGAGGCTGAGGCAGGCAGATCAAGTGAAGGTCAGGAGTTCAAGCCCAGCCTGGCCAACATGGCAAAACCCCATCTCTACTAAAAATACAAAAATTTGCTGGGTGTAGTGGCATGCACCTATAATCCCAGCGACTTGAGAGGCTGAGGCAGGAGAATTTCTTGAACCCAGGAGGAGGAGGTTGCAGTGAGCTGAGATTGCACCACTGCACTCCAGCCTAGGCAACAGAGCGTGATTCCCTCTCAAAAGAGAGAGAGAGAGAGAGAGAGAGAGAGAGAGAGAGAGAGAGAAAACTGGAGGCGAGTCCTATTCACCGTATTTACTTTCCTAAAATAAAACAACATTTAAAAAAACATTACTCACTATACTGTAGTTAGAAGGGGTAATTTAAAAAAAAAAAAAACAGACTTACCAAATTTTTTGCAGAAAAGCTGATCCACCATCTTTCTTAATTTAGTGATTCTGGCATACCATTCTTCCTTTACTGTCAAAATAAAAGTAATACAAGTTTTCTCAATTTAATGGCTTTAATAACTTTCATATTTAATATTATTATTATAAAATGGTAGGTATTAGTTTTTCTTTTCCTGTGACTAAAATTATTTCCAAGATTCGTGGCTGGGTGCAGTGGTTCATACCTGCAATCCCAGCACTTTGGGAGGCCAAGGTAGGGGGAATCGTTTGAGATCAGGAGTTCAAGAGCAGCCTGGCCAACATGGTGAAACCCCATCTCTACTAAAAAATACAAAACTTAGCCAGGTGTGGTGGCAAATGCCTGTAATCCCAGCTACTTGGGAGGCTGAGGCAGAAGAACTGCTTGAACCCAGGAGGCAGAGGTTGCAGTGAGTTGAGATTGCGCCACTGTACTCTAGCCTAGGCAACAAAGCGAGACTCCATCTCAAAAAGAAAAAAGGCAGAATAATAAAAGTATCCCTAAGATTCTAGAATGTGTTTATTCCTAAAACAATGTGGACGCTGTACAAAAAGAGCAAAATGAACCATCCGATAAACTAGAAAAAAAGCCAAAACACCTAGCAGGCAACATTTGCTACAGGAAGATCAGGAATATGATCTTGCTGGCAATCCTTCTATTTTAGTAAATGTAAACGGTATGATTCCATTCTATCTTGTCCCCGATCCACTCTGCTCCAGAGCAAAAAAAGCAAGCAAGAAAATCAATTCTATTTCTTTTAAAACACATCTAGGCCAAGCGAGGTGGCTCACACTTGTAATCCTAAAATTCTGGGAGGCCGAGGTGGGCAGGTCACCTGAGGTCAGGAGTTCGAGACCAGCCTGGCCAATTTGCTGAAAACCCTTCTCTACTAAAAATACAAAAATTAGCCAGGCATGGTGGCGAGTGCCTATATTCCCAGCTACTTGGGAGGGTGAGGCAGGAGAATCGTTTGAACCCAGGAGGCAGAGGTTACAGTGAGCCAAGATAGCACCACTGCACTCCAGCCTGGGCCACAGAGGGAGACTCTGACTCAAACAAACAAACAAACAACGCACATCTAACAGGCCAGGTGCGGTGGCTCACACCTATAATCACAAAACTCTGGGAGGCCGAGGCAGGCAGATCACCTGAGGTCAGGAGTTCGAATCAGCCTGACCAACATGGAGAAATCCCGTCTCTACTAAAAATATAAAATTAGCCGGACATGGTGGTGTGTGCCTGTAATCCCAGCTACTTGGGAGGTAGAGGCAGCAGAATCGCTCAAACTCGGGAACTGGAGGTTGCAGTGAGCTGAGATCCCACCACTGCACTCCAGCCTGGGCGGCAGAGTAAGACTCCATCTCAAAAAACAAAACCAAACTAAACACATCTAACAATCAAGGGGTGATATAAATGGCCCCACAATCTAAAAGGAATCCTTCTTATGTCCTGTGTATCATGGAAATCCAATGAATGCCTATTCCATTGACTCATGTGGACCTCACAATAAACTGTTCAATTCATTATGTAGATAAATCTTGCATCAAAAGTAGAACAAATATTGTTCTTTTAGTTCTGTCTACCCAATAACGCAATATTTGCATATATTTACAATGGATTAATAAAAAGAAGATGAGTATATTCTTCTAGAGAATATTAGATGGAATTTTGACAGCATGAATTCTCCTGTAATGGCACATAATTAAATAGAGACATACTACTTCATGTGGAAGGTAACACAGAGAAGAAATCAATGTTAAGTATGAAATAACTATGGCACCTAACCTTCTGATCTGCCTCAAGACTGAAAACCTACCTCCTGAAGCTGGTTTATCAAGCTGTAAATCTTCACGTGTTGAATTCAGAAGCTCGTGTCTGAAAGGTGAGAATAAATATTCAATGTTCACTAGGAAATATTCAGCAAATAACCCCTAGCACATATTTAACATTAGGTCAGTAAGGCTGGTTTTGAAAAGAAAAGATAATCTGGATGCTTGAGCACAACTAAATGCTTTTTTTTTTTTTTTTTTTTTTGGAGATGGAGTTTTGCTCTTCTTCCCAGGCTGGAATGCAGTGGTGCAATCTCAACTCACTGCAACCTCCACCTTCCGGGTTCAAGCAATCCTCCTGCCTCAGCCTCCCAAGTAGCTGGAATTCCAGGTGCCTGCCACCATGCCTGGCAAATTTTTGTATTTTTAGTAGCGATGGAGTGTCACCATGTTGGCCAGGCTGGTCTTGAATTCCTGACCTCAGGTGATCCACCTGCCTCAGCCTCCCAAGTGCCGGGATTACAGGCGTGAGCCACCGTACCCGGCCCACAACTAAATCTTAATTTGAGGTTTCTACAGAGTAATAAAACAAAATGATAACTGCAGCTTGTCTCCTAAGTTGCTTCAGGAAGCATGTATCCTCACAAGGAAAGAGGCAACTTTGTGGCTGGGCGTGGTGGCTCACGCCTGTAATCCCAGCACTTTGGGAGGCTGAGGCGGGTGGATCACAAGGTCAAGAGATTGAGACCATCTTGGCCAACATGGCAAAACCCCGTTTCTACTAAAAATACAAAAAATTAGCCAGACGTGGTGGCGCATGCCTGTAATCCCAGTTACTTGAGAGGCTGAGACAGGAAAATCGCTCAAACCTGGGAGGTGGAGCTTTCGTTGAGCACAGAATGCGCCACTGCACTCCAGCCTGGGCAACAAGAGCGAAACTCCAGCTCAAAAAAAAAGAGGCAACTTTGCAACCCACAGCTCTTTGAAGCCCATCACAAAACTCTTCAATGGGATCCTTTAATGTCATATTATATTCAAGACTACCTTCCTCCATACCGCTATAAAAATAATCATATATTCTCATATATGCTTTAACAATCTCAGGCCTATGAGGCGAAGGTAGGAGGATCACCTGAGGTCAGGAGTTCAAGACCAGCCTGGCCAACACGGTGAAACCCTGTCTCTACTAAAAATATAAAAATTAGCCAGGCGTGGTGGCATATGCCTGTAATCCCAGCGACTCGGGAGGCTGAGGCAGGAAAGTCGCCGGAACCTGGGAGGCAAAGATTTCAGTGAGCCGAGATTGTGCCACTGCATTCCAGCCTGGTTTACTGTGGGAGACTCCAACTCAAAAAAAAAAAAAAAAAAATCATGATCAGCCTGGCCAACACAGTGAAACCCCGTCTCTGCTAAAAATACAAAAATTGGCTGGGTGCATTGGCTCATGCCTGTAATCCCAACACTTTGGGAGACTGAGTCAGGCAGATCATGAGGTCAGGAGATCAAGACCATCCTGGCTAACACGGGGAGGCCCCATCTCTACTAAAAAGACAAAAACTTAGCTGGGAGTGTTGGCTCACACCTGTAGTCCCAGCTGATCAGGAGGCTGAGGAGAAGAACTGTTTGAACCCGGGAGGCAGAGTTGCAGATTGCACCTGGGAGACATAGCAAGACTCCATCTCAAAAAAAAAATTATCCAGGCATGGTGGCGCATGCCTATAATCCCAGCTACTTAGGAGGCTGAGGCAGGAAAATCGCTTGAACCTGGGAGGTGGTGTTTGTGGTGAGCTGAGATCACACCCCTGCACTCCAGCCTGGGCAACAGAGCAGGACTCCGTCTCAAAAAAAAAAAAAAAAAAAAAAAAAAAGAAAAAGAAATTCAGGCCTAAAAACAAGGCATGGATACTATGTTCTTTAGCAAAAGTAGCAGAAAATTGTGAAAGAAAATGTCAGTTGCATGCCAGTCCAGTGCGGGCGTGCTCATGCTTCAAATGCCAACACTGGCTGACTGATGCAATGTGGGACCCGGATAAATTAAAAAGTAGAAAATAACAATGCATAAAGTCACTCACACCTCATCACATACAACCCTAGTGGTTAAGGAATATGTGTCAACAATAAAAAAAGACCTACTGCTCAGAACAGAGACAAGAGTCCAACACGAATCCAAGTCTTACTTCTTAATCACAAAACGAATCCTTTCCTTTGCAAGTAATATCCTCTCAAGGCGAGGAATTCCGTAAGTAGACGGCCTTCTAAAAGGAATTCCTTCAGGAAGTCCTTCTACGTAAAGGTCTTCAACATGAGACTGGAAAAGAGGGTATGGGATCGTCACCGGGCCTTTGGCTTTTATGGCTTGAGCTTTAAGGACAAAAAAAAGAAAGAGAGATCATTTAGGCAACATTTGTAGAAACGTAGAATAATACTGCTCTTTAACTTCTATAGTTTGATCTTTACTTGTTACTGTAATTGAATCCGAAGAAAAATAGCATGAGGGAAATAAAAAGAACATCAAAAATGCTCATATTCCGATTATCAAAGTCTGCAGTGAAATATCCCATTACTTTAAGGCAACGTGGATAAAGCCAGACTTTCTATAGACATTTTTTTTTTGGCGGGGGTGTGGGGTGGAGTCTTGCTCTGTAGCCCAGGCTGGAGGGCAGTGTCGAGATCCCAGTTCACCGCAACCTCCACCTCCCAGGTTCAAGCATTCTCCTGCCTCAGCCTCCTGAGCAGCTGGGACTACAGGCGCGTGCCACCACACCCAGCTAATTTTTTGTATTTTTAGTAAAGATGGAGTTTCACCATGTTGGCCAGGCTGGTCTCAAACTCCTGACCTTAAGTGATCCCCCCGCCTCGGCCTCCCAAAGTTCTGGGACTATAGGCATGAGCTACCTCGCCTGGCCAACTTTCTACAGAAATCTGAACCATATTACAAAGCGAGAAAAACACACCAAAGTAATATCATTTAATACATATAGTACTAAATGGAAGAAGCAGTATTTCAAAAACATAAACATTACTGTAATCTTATTGGGCTTATAAAAATAATTTATTTTAAATAACAGAGGCAAGCGGGTTACAGTGGCTCACGCCTGTCATCCCAGCACTTTGGGAGGCCGAGGCAGGTGGATCACCTGAGGTCAGGAGTTCCAGACCAGCCTGGCCAACATGGTGAAACCCTGTCTCTACTAAAAATACAAAAATTAGCTGGGTGTAGTGGTGGGTGCCTGTAATCCCAGCTACTCAGGAGGCTGAGGCAGGAGATTCCCTTGAACCAGGAGACGGAGGTTGCAGTGAGCCAAGATCATGCCACTGCACTCCAGCCTGGGCAACAGAGCAAGACTCCGTCTCAAAAATAAATAAATAAATAAAAACAAATAAATAACAGAAGCCGAAGATTCTCCTGAACTACAATATTTTTTCTAAGATTTATTTACCCAAGAGTAAAATAATACAGCAGCTGTAAACAGTCAAGAGTGTGGGGAGTATTAAAATCAAACATAAAGGGCCAGGCACAGTGGCTCACACCTGTAATGCCAGCACTTTGGGAGGCTGAGATGGGCGGATCACCTGAGGTCAGGAGTTTGAGACGAGCGTGACCAACATGGAGAAACCCCATCTCTACTAAAAATACAATATTAGCTGGGTGTGGTGGCGCATGCCTGTAATCCCAGCTACTCAGGAAGTTGAGGCAGGAGAATTGCTTGAATTCAGGAGGCGGAGGTTTCCGTGAGCCGAGATCGCGCCATTGCACTCCAGCCTGGGCAACAAGAACAAAACTCCAACTCAAAATTAAATAAGTAAATCATAATAAGTGGTCTCCCATCAGAACAGCTCCATTTTTCTTTTGCCATTATTGTGTGCAATAGTCTTATTTCCTAAACATTAATATTTGTACTAAAACTTCAAGTGCACCACGTTATACGTTAGCGTTAAGTTCGAGTTAATGTCCACTATCGTACACTAAACTTGAATATCGTATTTATATGTCACAACGAAAATCTCTCTCCCTAAGGCAATTACCATTCATATTGCTTTGAAATTATAAAATGTGAAGATGTTTTTATAATTTCACAACAGCTGGTGAACATTATGTATTGTCTTGTATACAAAATAATCTAATAAATCACCATCGCAACAAAAGCCCCACAACATAACCTGTTTCGCTTCATGAAAAACACTGACATTTGCAAAAATGTCATAGTAAATTTATAAAACTGTAATAAGAAATTATTTTAACACAGAATAGCACCAAATAAAGAATATAATAAAAATATAAACAGGAAGCCTTTATTATATGCATGCCAGGTATTATGTGAAGCACTTTACTATCTTATCAATATTCAGGATAGATCTTCAGTTCTCAGGACCACAAAAGAGGATACCGGGACTCAGACAGGAGAAGAGGTGCGACCAGGCTGTGTCCCCAGAGCCTATGACCTTACCACTAGGTGACAGTGCTTCCAGGTAGCACATGTTGTGAGGTTTTAGCTTCAAAATGAACCAATAAAAAACACAGGCCTGGGCGCGGTGGCTCATGCCTGTAATTCCAGCACTCTGGGAGGCCAAGGTGGGTGGATCACCTGAGACCAGGAGTTTGAGACCAGCCTGGCCAACATGGTGAAACCCTGTCTCTACTAAAAATACAGAAGTTAGCCAGGCGTGGTGTCGGGAGCCTGTAATCCCAGCTACTCGGGAGGCCCAGGTAGGAGAATCACCGAACCTGGACGGCAGAGGTTGCAATGAGCCAAGTTTGCACCACTCCAGAATCAGCAACAAGAGCGAAATTCCGTCTCAGAACAAACAAAAAAAAACCACACGCAAAAAGGTGTAAGCTACTAAAAAGCGGAAGAAACACTAAGAGAACCTTAAGCAAATCATTAAAAATATAATGGGAAAGTTAGTGAATTCATTAGCAAATTTACTCTAATTCCAGATTTTCATTGAGGGGTAGGTTATATTACTCATGACGAATTAAAAAAAAGTTCATTTTAAGTTTATTAACACAAATACCATCAATATGGTTTGTGTTTAAATTTTCACCGAAAGCAATTCAGTTAAAACTGTGTATCATACAATTTCACAGCTCGCTAGTTGATGGCACAGTAAATAAGTCATCCAAATAAAAATAAACATTGCAAAACATGATGTTTTTCACTGGTTGTTACTATTTTTCGGTAAGCATTTGATGTATACCAACAGATGATAATAACAAATTGCTAATGTCTTTCATCACTACATAAAGGTGGCTATAGGATAGAATAGTGTAAGGGCAAAGAAGGAATTGAAATCTAGCGTCAGCTCAGTTACGCATCAAGATAAAAGCAGAGGCCGGGCGCAGTGGCTCATGCCTGTAATCCCAGCACTTTGGGAGGCTGAGGCAGGAGGATCACTTGAGATCATGAGTTTTGAGACTAGCCTCACCATCACGGTGAAACCCCATATCTACTAAAAATAGAAACATTAGCTGGGTATGGTGGCAGGTGCCGGTAGTCCCAGCTACTTGGGAGAATGAGGCAGGAGAATCACTTGAACCCAAGAGGTAGAGGTTGCAGTGAGTTGAGATCTGATCACTGAACTGCAGACTCTGTTAAAAAAAAAAAAAAAGATAAAAGTAGAAACAATAGGGGCATCTCAGTGAATACTGGATTTAACAAAGTAGATTAAGAGAAACTATCAGTTAAAAAAATAATCTTCAGCCCGATACGGTGGCTCATGCCTGTAATCCCAGCACTTTGGGAGGCCAAGGCGGGCGGATCATGAGGTCAGGAGGTTGAGACCATCCTGGCTAACATGGTGAAACCTCGTCTCTACTAAAAATACAAAAAATTAGCCAGGCACGGGGGCACACACCTGTAGTCCCAGCTACTCGGGAGGCTGAGGCAGGAGAATCGCTTGAACCAGGGAGGTGGAGGTTGTGATGAGTTGCGATCACACCACTGCACTCCAGCCCAGGCAACAAGAGCGAAATGCCGTCTCATTTAAAAAACAAAAACAAACAAACAAAAAAAAACAAAAAAAAACTTCAATTAAATTCCCCAAATCCAGAGCTTTGCAATAAATATGTAAATAAATTTCCAAATACCCATGCTGAAAGTTTAAGAGAAATGTTAGCTGATAATTACAGAAATACAACTTTTCCTTAGCTTTATAGTCACCTAGAAACAAAGACTTTCTAATTTTTCGACAGACTCTGCTAAGAGCCTTACAAGGAGAGGCTTGTAAGTAAGTATGGCAGGGTTCACCGGCAGTACCGGGCTTGTCCACATCACCCGCATGACGAACAGTAACACCATTGTGTAAACGCTCACCAACAAAGTATTACAGGAATTTTCCTGTTTAGACATACCATATTTCCTTTCAAACAATTCTTCAACTTGTTTACGCAGATCAGTGATGCGGGCATTCCATTTCTCTGAAAATCGAGCAAAAGTGAATTCTCAATAAGAAGTCCCTACTGTTGGGGGTGGCCCCGGGGTTTTGAGATGACCAAACATGTAATGACTAATTTTCTGCATTTTGACATCCCAACTGTCCATCTCATTTTACTGCTTTCCAAAGAAGTTTCCCCATTTTTGGTGGTTTTTGGAATTATTAGATTGGTACAAAAGTAACCCTGGCTTTTGCCATTACTTTTAATAGTTTCATGGGAGACTATAAGAGAAGTTTTAACATTTAGCTCCTCTTTTTAGCCTTTTGATTTCTGAAAAGCAGGAGGGCAGAAAAGATCAATCGAATCAAACACGACAAAAGGAAAGCCGTGATAATGAGGGGGTCTTTCGCAAACTTCCTAAAACATGTCTTAGCTGTGTGGAAATAAGACTTTACAGATAAAGAGTTGCAACTTAGAATGCTAAAAACAGGCTGGGTGCAGTGGCTCACGCCTGTAATCCCAGCACTTTGGGAGGCCAAAGCGGGCGGAGCATCTGAGGTCAGGAGTTCGAGACCAGCCTGGCCAACATGGTGAAACCTCATCTCTTCTAAAAATACAAAAATTAGCTGGGCGTGGTGATGGGAGCCTCTCATCCCAGCTACTCGGGAGGCTGAGGCAGGAGAATCACTTGAACCCAGGAGGCGGAGGTTGCAGTGAGCCAAGATTGTGCCACTGCACTCCAGCCTGGGCGAAAGAATGAAACTGTCTAAAAAAATCGTAATGATAAAAAATAACATAGCTTCTTCTTCAACAAAAGACCAAATGGCGGATGACGCCGGTGCAGTGGGGAGTTGGGGGGCCGGAAAAAAACAAACAAACAAACATAAACATAAAAATAATATACAAAAATTCAATTCATATCCAGTCATTGTGACTACAACAGTAGAATATTAAAGTATGATTTCCAAAATGTATACAAGCTTAATGTTCTATTTATTCAAAAGATGAATCATAACATAATTTGCCACTAATATCTCATTCAGTCCCTTCCTAGCATACATCATCCACTGGGAGCTCACAGACAAGCAGCCTGAGTGACACGGAGCAAAGGGTGAAACAGTTCTAAATAAAGGTTCTAAAGCTAAAGAGAAGTAACTAAATGACTAAGTCTTTAGCACTAATCTTGAGCCGAATAATTACTATCGGAAGGGACAATGTCCTCCGCTTTGGTACATCCAGACTATGCTTAAACAATGCCTGTTATGTGACTTTCAAAATGCTCCTGGCTTTCCAAAGATGAGATTATAATGCAGTCACGCAGGCTAACGCATTTCCCCCTGCAGAGCATGTTGCAACTTTTATCGGTCACACCGAGAGCCCAGAAGATGAAGGAAAAGGTCACGTATTTCACGAGGAACTCACCGAAATTGAACTCCCTGACTTTCCGCTTTCCTGCATTGGCGGGTTCTGGAACTGGTGGCTGTGGTAGCTCGTTGGTCTTTGGTCTCTTAGAAGGTGGAGAATAATCATCATCTTGAAAAAGAAAATGGTCATTACTGAAGGAACCGTCTTAAGAGTTACAGCCACCTCCTGGTCAATTCCCTACATTCAAAAGGTGAGTGGGGCTTCAGAGCTATCTTGAGTATCAATCATTATTTCTGTATTGTGAGCCTTAGCAGACTTTTTCCTAGTTACATCTGAAATTGTATTTGTTTGGGATGTGTTCAAGTAATACTGCTTTTTCCTGTCTTTCTTCATTATTTTTTAGTTTGCTTCATTTGAATTATCATTATAAACTTTCCCTTCCCAAATAACTTCCAAATAGCTGTCAAGAACTATATTCTAAGACTTTGAAGAAAAATATTTTAATGAAGATAGCCACCTAAAGTTATACAAATAAGTAAGAAAAGGGGAATTAATAAAAGCTTAGATGGAAAAGATATTTAAGCTTACACAAAATGTAAGCATACATAAGCAAGGGAAATTGGATAACTGTATGTTCAAATATTTTTTTTTTCCTTTTTGAGACGGAGAATTGTTCTGTTGTCCAGGCTGGAGTGCAGTAGTGTGATCTTGGCTCACTGCAACCTCCACCTCCTGGGTTCAAGCAATTCTCATGCTCAGCCTCCCAAGTAGCTGGGATTACAGGTGCCCACCGCCATGCCCAGCTAATTTTTCTATTTTTTGGTAGAGATGGAGTTTCGTCATGTTGGCCAGGCTGGTCTTGAACTCCTGGCCTCAAGTGATCCACCCACCTTGGCCTCCCAGAATGCTGGGATTAAAGGTGTGAGCCACCACACCTGGCCTGTTCAAACACTTATAACAAGCGCAAAATGAATGGGCTCAAAGAAATGGGGCTGCATTATTACGAAACAGATACTGTTGATTCAGTCACCAGAGGGCCTATGTATAAAGGAGCAGTCCGCTATGAAAGCGTAGCACACACTCTACTCAAGACAGCTGTCCTGAGAATTCCACGCTCATTTCCTTGTGGACACACCAGTAACTCACTCTGCTGTGATGCTTCAATACACCTGATGTTACCGTTAGAGACCTCTGGGTCAAATCAGCGGCCACTGTCATCTTCCAGTCCCCCAGAGTGTCAGGTAACATGCTATTATTACTGCTCAAACATCATCCATTAAATACTGAAAACATCATTTTAAGAAATCCTTATTTAAAAACAAATGTGTCATGGCGAAGAAACTAATTACTGCGTTAAAGACAGTATCACGGAAAAGAAAGACCACCCAAGTACAGTCAGCTGTCTTTTTAGATGGGTATATTGTTAATGCTTATTTTACAGCTAAAGAAATGGGCTCAGGAATGTTATTTGATTGGACTGTGTTGCCTCTCTGGACAGTGCAGCTGAGATCAGACTGCGCATGCGTGTGACTCTACTGGCCTACCAGAGTGCTTCTCCTAAAGGTAAGACAGGCAAATTTGGCCTAATACACAATGTTGCCCCGGGCAGCACTGGGTCATGCCTACAGATAACTTCTATGTTCCTCAAGGAAAACCTTCAGGGAAGGTGAAAATGCTTCTAGAAGGCGACTGGACACCAGCGCCCCTGCTTGCTGCCTTTGGGCTCTTCCTCTAAGGCCAGCAGTGACCTGAAATTACTGACTGACTGTTCCAATCAACTGGGGAAAATGGTACCGAGGTCACCAACATCAGACAGATTCACTTGAGGACCTATCTACGTGCTTAGAAAGACAAAACTGCTTTTGTAAAGGATACTATTTCAGAAAGCCATAATCACAGTAACAACTAATGACTATAAAATGCTGATGTGTTGAATGCTACTTCAGAAAAAGCTGTTCAAATCTAGGGAAAAGATTTCTGATAGAAAACTATCCATCCACCCATCCATCCATCCACCCACCCACCCATCCATCCATTCATCCATCCATCCATCCATTCATCCATCCATCGGCAGGGTCTCATTCTATTGCCCAGGCTGGAGGACAGTGGCATGATCATAGCTCACTGCAGCCTCAAGCTCCTGGCCTCAACTGATCCTCCTGCCTCAGCCTCCCAAATAGCTGGGACTATACGCAGGCACCCCTACACCTGGGTACTTTTTTTTTTTTTTTTACCTTTTTTGTAGAGACAGAGTCTCACTACGTTGCCCAGGCTGGTCTCAAACGCCTGGTCTCAAGTGATCCTTCTGTCTCAACCTCCCAAAGTGCTGAGATTATAGGCATGAACCACTGTACCAGGCCAGAAAACAACTTAAAAATGACAAACTCTCTGAGAAATAAAACTCGACTGTCATCTGGGTTTGTATTACTACAAGGATTAAAAATAGTCAACAGACCCTATAAATAGATTAAGGTTCCAACCTAAGTAGAAACAATCTGGAAACAGAAGTATGTAAGTTTAAACCTCAATTCTGAAAATGTACTTTAAAAAAACCCTATTTTCCAACTCTCAGACAGGGTTTAGAAACCCTAAGAGTATTTTTATGCTGGCTTCCAAAGGTTAAAACAAAATACACTCATTTCACCTGTGAATACTGTCAAAGCATTATAAAGGCTTAATATTACTATCTCTTTACAAACATTAAGCAGTAACTTCTAAAGTAAAAGTATTTCCCCTATAGGTTAATGTTTCCTAAGTATCCTGATAGATCATCATTTAAACTGACCCTTCACTGAATGCCATAAAATGAAAGTTGCTAGAGTAGAATGACGGGGAAGGGAAATAGATCTGGATGGAACCGAGATCAGTGGCTCTCTGTCCCATGAATCCCAGTCCAAATCCAAACTCCTCACAACTGAGGCCACGCGGAGGGGAAGACAGGTTTTCTTTACTGTCGAGACCTCACTTTTTCAGTCACGCAAACATTTTAGAACACAAAAGATTTAATCGTATAATCATGTTTTGTGAAGGCAATCTACCCAACCATAAACAAAAAAAGTAAAGAGAAAAAGGCAAATCTACTAGAGGGCTTTTTTAATGTGACAAAGATTGCAAAATTTTGAAAATACAAGTGAGATCACATTTTCCTCTTCACTGGCAAATAACGAAGTTCAATCTATTAAATGTGAACAAATACAGAGCTGAATGTGTGTGTGTGTGTGTGTGTGTGTGTGTGTGTGTGTGTGTGTTTTTGAGACAGTCTTGCTCTGTCGCCAGGCACCAGGCTGGAGTGCAATGGTGCAATCTTGGCTCACTGCAACCTCTGCCTCCTGGGTTCAAGCAATTCTCCTGCCTCAGCCTCCCAAGTAGCTGGGACTACAGGCGCGCACCACCACGCCTGGCTCATTTTTGTACTTTTTACTAATAGAGATGGAGTTTCACCATGTTGGCGAGGATGGTCTCAATCTCCTGACCTCGTGATCCTCCTGCCTTGGCCTCCCAAAGTGCTGGGATTACAGTCGCGAGCCACCGCGGCCGGCCAGTTATTTTGAGACCGGCTCTTACTCCGTTGCCCACACTGAAATGCAGTAGCGCCATTCACTGCAGCCTCGACTTCCCAGGCCCAAGTGATCTTCTCACCTCAGCCTCCCCAACGGCTGGGACTATAGGCGGGCACCACCACATCCAGCTAATTTTTTAATTTTTGTAGAGATGGAAGTATCCCTATGTTGCCCACACTGGTAGTGAACTCCTGGCTTCAAGAAAGCCTCCTGCCTTGGCCTCCCAAAGTGCTGTGATTACAAGTGTGCGCCACTGCACCCAGCTGAACATAGTTATTTTTGATAAAATATCACACCACATCTTTTATTTATTTATTTATTTAGAGACGGAGTCTTGCTCTGTCACCAGGCTGGAGTGCAGTGGTGCAATCTCGGCTCACTGCAACCTCCGCCTCCTGGGTTCAAGCCATTCTTCTGCCTCAGCCTCCCGAGTAGCTGGGACCACAGGCACGTGCCACGACGCCCGGCTAATTTTTTGTATTTTTAGTAAAGACGGGGTTTCATCATGCTGGCCAGGATGGTCTCGATCTCTTGACCTCGTGATCCACCCACCTCGGCCTCCCAAAGTGCTGGGACTACAGGCGTGAGCCACCGCGCCCGGCACATCTTCTATTTTTAAAATCCTGTTTATAAACTGATTAATCTTTGGGTGTTTTAAGTCATATGGAACGTGGCATTCAGGCATCAGAATAGCTATAAACTTCACCACATCCTCCATTTTTCTCCAATTAACTCTGTCACCATTAATTGGTTTTGACAAAGTACGAAAAAAAAAAATGGGTTTCCTGACCTAAAATCCTTTCCACAAAGGATCAAAATTACTTTTTTCTCTGAAGTATAAAACACCAACTAAAGCTCTAGGGCATGCCCTCACGCACCGGGCACTGCAGCACCCATTATTCTGCGGTTTCCACATTGTAAACAACCATGTTTGTGTAACGAGACACGTTTCAGCGTGCTTCAAATTCAAGCCCAAAGGCAAGTGTTTCTATAATCAAAATGTAAAGCTTTTAAAATACATTTTAAGAAAAAAAAAAATTGTTTTTAAGAGTCTCACTCTGCTGCCCAGGCTGGAGTGCAGTGGCGAGATCTCGGCTCACTGCATCCTCCACCTCCCAGGTTCAAGCGATTCTCCTGCCTCAACCTCCCAAGTAGCTGGGATTACAGGTGCCTGCCATCTCGCCCGGCTAATGTTTGTATTTTTAGTAGAAAGGTGGTTCACCATACTGGCCAGGCTGGTCTCCCAACTCCTGACCTCAGGTGATCTGCCTGCCTGGGCCTTCCAAAGTGCTGGGATTACAGGCATAAACCACCATGCCTGGCCCCTTTTAAGATATTTTCATATGAAAAAAAATGCTGATTACTAATTTACAATAGTTACGCTACCCACACTAACAAAAGCACTGTCAAAACAAGAAGAAAAAAAGTCTAAAAAACAAACAGAAGCACTCCGCCAATACCTCCAAGTCAGCAATGCCATCCCCAGCCCGACATTTGTATTTAAAACCCCAGCTTCCTTTTTGCAACATATTAACGAATATGCCTACAACGAATCCAGGCTTCAGAGCTAAAGCTGTTTATCACCGCATTCTAGCCAGTGAATCAATAAATAAGACTATGTAACAGTAGTTTCTGATCCTCTTATTTTCAACATAATCAGATTGGTATTATGTTACCATACAATCGACAGCTATTCAAAGTTAAAAAAACAATCAAAGCCAGGTACTCTATCTCCTTCAAAACTCATTAATCACCCTACACGTTTCAAATAAATGGATTCATTCACCCATGGACACAATTTATAGCTCCTCTAAAACTCTTTACCTAAACAATTGAATATTCATTAAATGACGATTTGGCAACAACAACAGAAAGATGTGCCAGTGTGAACCTACTCAATCATGTCAATTCTACGAGTGCTGCAGGGACAGTAAGAAAACCACAAGAATTGAACAACAAACAGCAAAACTCGGTGGCTTTGTCTTCAAAATCTCCCCAGAATCAACCAGCTCTCATCTCCCCTGCCACCAACCTGCTGTAAAGCACCCTTCTCTGTACCCTAGGTAATCCCGAGAGGCTCCCAAGCTAGTTTTCTGTCAAAGATATTCACTGCTCCAAGTCTTCTCTCTTTTATTCCCCTTTTCTCAGCATAGTCACATTTCCTAGAAGTGAAGGACACAAAGTATCACTCCTATTTTCCTAACACTCCTCAGGATTTGCTACGAAAATTATTCACTACTAAATTCTTAGCACCACGGCTGGGCACGGTGGCTCACGCTTGTCATCCCAGCACTTTGGGAGGCTGAGGTGGGCGGATCACCTGAGGTCAGGAGCTCGAGACCAGCCTGGTCAACATGGTGAAACCCCGCCTCTACTAAAAATACAAAATCATCTGGGTATGGTGGTGTGTGCCTGTAATCCCAGCTACTTGGGAGGCTGAGGTAGGAGAATCACTTGAACCCAGGAGGCAGAGGTTGCAGTGAGCCGAGATGTGCCACTGCACTCCGGCCTGGGCAACAGAGCAAGACTCTGTCTCCAAAAAAAAATTCTTAGCACCTGGTACATACAATGTGCTCAGTATTTGTGGAGGGATTAAATGAACCTATGAATAGTATAGTCCCTAATTATATGCAGCAGCCAGGTATCTGCCAGTATCTCAAACACCAATTCCACAAAAGAGGGATGGTAGGGAATTCAACTGTCCCTCATAACCCCTACTAAAATATTGAAACCCTAAAAAAAATTATTCAAATCGTAATACATAATTCCTCTGAGATGCCTATTTTTACATATATAATTGGGTATTAAGTGTCTGATTTGCAGCTATAAAAATAGAAGACACCAAGTTTTCCAACACCAACCTCCTCAGTTGCAGCGATTCTGGAAAACCTACAGTTAGTTGCCAGCTGCAGTACGCGCGTCACGTGTGCTCACGTGAGTCAATTACATTTGAAATTATTTACATACCCCTTTCAGAATATGAGAAAGAAAAAGAAGTCAAAGAGTTTGAATTAGGAAGACGTAAAATTCATCACAAAATGAATTGACTTAAAATCAATGTCAGGGAGGAAAAAAAACTCAGGTTAAGTAATGAACAGAGAGTTAGGGCCACAGTAGAAGGAGCAGAGGTAAGTGACTCAGGTTTGGGAAACTAGGCCCTAAGAGAGAACTACGCACGAAAGAAACCTCTTTGACACCGTTCTTAGCACTCCGTGACTGCCAGACCTGAAACAATCTCTGCACACGTGAAGAGATAACATACCAGGCAGAAATTTCCCCTTAACCCAGAAATGCTGTCATGGTGTTTACGAAAACAGAGGCTTGCGATCCTATTATCCCAAGGCCAATTTCCCCAAACCTAAGTCACGTTGTTTTAGATGTTTACCACTGACTGTAAGTACACATAAAATGGCAAAATGGAAGCACAGAGCTCAGAGCACACCAGCGGTGGGGAAGTAATGGCCCTGCATCCATGAATACGTCCGCATCAGAGTCAAATTAGCCTCTTCAGAACTCCACATAATTGCAAATGAAGACACCGAGGTGAAAACACCGTGGAAAATCGGACAGGCTTATTTGATGAGAAAGTTCTTTTTTTTTCCTCTTCTATCAATGATTTGGGAAATGTGAAAAGAGGTGAAATGAGGAAATTAAGTCGTCTCCAGGCAAGCAGGAATATCTCCGTGTCTTTCCGTCCATCTTCTTACCAAGCACAAGTATTTTCCTAAACAACACTAAGATTATTCTCCAGATACGCTTCTGCTTTTAAAGCTGCCTTGTTCTCAAGGCAGGATTTTTTTTTTTCACTGAACATTTTATATTTGAGATCTTTCCTCAGATTAAGAAAACATTATCAGGATTTCAATGGCTATATACTTTTCTGTTATGAAGATATTCCAAAATTTGATTTTCTAACTATGGACATTTAAAGAGCTCCTACCATATGGAAGTACTCTTTCCAGAAATCACACATTATTATTATTATTATTATTATTTTTGAGACAGAGTCTCATACAGTTGCCGGGCTGGAGTGCAGTGGTGCGATCTCGGCTCACTGCAACCTCCACCTCCCAGATTCAAGTTGTTCTCCTGCCTCAGCCTCCTGAGTAGCTGGGATTACAGGTGCCCACTTCCACGCCTGAATAATTTTTTCTGTTTTTAGTAGAGAAGGGATTTCACTATGTTGGCCAAGCTGGTCTCAAACGCCTGACCTCAGGTGATCTGCCTGCCTCAGCCTCCCAAAGTGCTGGGATTAACAGGCGTGAGCAACCACACCCGGCCACGATATACATTATTAACCAGAAGTGTGCACGTAATTTCTTACTTGACCCTCCTTGTTCATATTGAGACAATTTTTATCTGCCTTAAAAAATTAGGAATTTGATGGTTGATATAATTTCTATAGAATATATGTATCTTTTACATATACATACATAAAATGTGTATGTGTGTACGCACATAAAAACACAGAAAATGCTACCTTTTAAAAGAATTACTATACTTAGACCGGTATTTTACTGGTCTTCTGAAAAGAAAGAAGTCTACACAGCAAAATGCTGCTACTTAATCATAAATGTGAATGTTCAATCAGGCTTATGGCACAATATCTTAGTTGAAAAGAAATGAGATTTATTACTCCATCCAAAACAGTTCAAGTTCAAAAGACTGTCATATGCTTCAGGTTCATTAGCCATGTATTTCTTGATGTCTGTTCACCTCTCTTTAAAGGTCTTATACTATAAAAGCAAATATTTACATTCTAAACCATTTTAATATAGCCTCTATCTGCGTCAAGATCTGACAGATCAATATGGTTATTAGTCCTACCTAAAAGTTTTATTTTTATAATTTGAATAACCTCCTATTAATATCTCCATAGAAAGGACACAGGTGAATATTTATAATATTGGTATGTTCTTCCATTTTTTCCTGTGAATGAGATTTCTAACAAAAAAGAAATTAAATTTCAACTACTTAATGCTAGACTATAAACAATTCAAAATGTTTTAGATTAGAAAAATTAAATGAATGAAAAAAGAAATCTGTATATTAACATGTGAAGCATGAAAAGATTTATTTTATTAGGTGGAAGCTACTAATCAACATATTTTAGAAGCAATGAAGACACAGACAGGTTGAGTAGTTTGAAGCAGTCCAACACTATAAATAACCAAGTGACATCGGTAGGCAACAGGTTATTAAGAGAAAGAGACAGACAGCAGACCAAGAAAGGTTACGTAGCAGCTAGAAAAAAGCTAATGAAGTACCAAGATGTGTGGTTACGGGAGGGGAAGCCTATGGAATATGCGGTATTTTTAAATCTGCATTATAAATGCATGCTGAAAGCATCTGTGCATTTTTGCAAAAATCAAGATATAGACATGAAATTCTTTCTCGAAGTAGACATAATAAGCTGACATATATCCCTCAGTACTGGGACCTGGGAGCAGAGTGAGGGTGAGGAAAACTTTCCATTGTGAGCAAATTTACTCTACTGTTTTGACATTTTCCCGTAAGAAAGAAGGACTTTGAAGGGAAAAAACTTACAGAAGTATTGGGAGACATTAATTTTTATTTATTTTTAATTTTTTTTTAGATGAAGTTTTGCACTTGTCGCCCAGGCTGGAGTGCAATGGCATGTCTCAGCTCACCGCCACCTCCGCCTCCAGGGTTCAAGCGATTCTCCTGCCTCTGCCTCCAGAGTAGCTGGGACTACAGGCATGCACTACCGCACTCGGCTAATTCTGTATTTTTAGTAGAGATGGGGTTTCACCATGTTTGTCAGGCTGGTTTTGAACTCCTGACCTCAGGTAATCCACCCACCTCGGCCTCCCAAAGTGCTGGGATTACAGGTGTGAGCCACCGTGCCCGGCCGTGAGACATTAATTTGAAAGGAAAAACACAATACTCAATTATTATTATTATTATTTTTTGAGATGGAGTCTTGCTCTTGTCGCCCAGGCTGGAGTGCAATGGTACGATCTCAGCTCACCGCAACCTCCGCCTCCTGGGTTCAAGCAATTCTCCTGCCTCAGCTTCCCAAGTAGCTGAGATCACAGGGACCCGCCACCATGCCTGGCTAATTTTTGTAACTTTTTTAGCAGAGACGAGGTTTTACCATGTTGGCCAACCTGGTCTCAAACTCCTGACCTCGGGAGCCACCCGCCTCGGCCTCCCAAAGTGCTGGGATTACAGGCGTGAGCCACCACACCCAGCCTTAATAATTATTATTATGAAGTGATCGGTAATAATTCTATTAGCTGAATTTTTAAGTAATTCAGGATAAACTGGCTCAGCTGAGTTCATGCTTATCTTTGGAGAAAAAAAAAAACTAGGTTTGAAGCAATTTTAGCTATAGAGAGTACTGCAGAATATATGTGTAGCTATTGCTTCAAAACAGTTTTGAAAGATAAATTGTGTATCAGCCTCTAAGTAGAATTTGCAAATAGCAGGGAGCTTTAAAACTTACTTACTAGCAACACTTTTTCCTCCACTTTACTTAATTAGAAATGAGGGATTCCAGCTCCAGATAAATCTTCTTCTATCACAACCCAAGATTATAGAATCTGTTTTTGTGTGTATCAAGTCTGGTCATAATTTTCTTATTTTCTTTTCAATTCCCACTGATAGCAAGGATAGCCTGGGCCACGTGGGGGCCAGTGCTAATCCTCACAGCTTCATTCTGCCATCTAAAACTCCCAAAGCACTGGGGTGCACTGCTGGGGAGTGGGCTGCTTTGGTCACACAAACACATGTATTCATCCCCCAAGTATCCTTTCAAAATGAATGAAATGCATATTCAGCAATGTGAATGTGACAAATATTTTTATGACCAGAAGGAAACTTTGGAATCAAGGCTTTTAGATAACTAACCTTCAATAGTCACCTCAACTTCAGGGTCCTCACTTGTTTCTGAAGGGACATGTTGAGTAGAATCTTGAAAAAAATAAAATTCTAAAATGACATTCATTATTAAGCATTTTTCCATATGTTCCAACATTTTACTGATTTGATACTCCAAAAGCAGCCTACTATAAAAAGTCACTGGCATTTTAATTCATTTCATATTTATGAAATTAAAAGTTGACTCTTTTCATTATCAATAGGGATAAAAGAAAACAAAAATTAGAAAAACTCTGGAAAAAATTTAGATAATAACATGTTACCTGCAGAAATTGACTCAAAAAATCCCATGGCCTTGGAGGAATGAGGATATGACAAATTCACAATAAATCTCCTGCCACAGCTACCAGATGCTCAGACAGAAACGAATGCTTTCTACTGTGGTTAGGATTTCTCCCCTCCTTTCAGAAATGTGAGCAGTGGTTTCTACTGTTCAATAAAACCACAACCCAGGCTTTGCTATGGAGACCTTCGTATCAACAGACCGAGTGTCACAAGTATATACAGGACTATATCCTCTAGATTTGAATGCAACGTATTTCAAAAATTTACAAAGTTCGTTCAGATTTGTTCCTACTCAAGACAAACGTACATCAGAATGTTAGTGCTAGAAGCTTAGCTAGAGAGTATTTTCATTAGTTCTCTTTCATTGTGCAAAGGTTGAGAGATTAATTGATTTGCCAAAGAGTATGTTTACTTGTTAGTGAAGGAATAAAGGCCAGAACCCAGACTCGATTTGACTTTGTTAACACTGGAATAGGACAGTTAAAAGGTCCTAAAAATGGAGTCTTCAGGGTGCAGTACCTGCGATGAACCCTCGGGCTGCACGTGTGCTGTTACCTAGCTTTTGTTGTTCTAAATCCCGCTTATTCAATGCTGAAAACTCTGTCTCAGAGAAAATACCCACCTCCACACAGGAAAGCATACAACATTCACCCACACAATCTATAAAAAGGGCTGACAGGAAAATGTAACCGATTGTTTAAAATGAGCATACCAGTATTTCCGCAAGAAATGTATTCCAGGGAGAAACCTTATATATCACTGAATTTGGAGAAACCAGTCTATATTCAGGGACCTTAAGATTGCCTTTCGCTCAAAGAAGGAAAAAGGTCGAACAAATGATTTTTTTAAATTAAAATAAAAATGTAAATACAATGGAACATAACCAGTTACAGAACAGACTCGTTTTCATTCTAGAAAAATAAGGTATCACGTGACCAACTGATGAGAGAAATCATTCTAAAATAAGATCCAGTTATCTTACCAGTCATTTTCCTTGGGAGAAATCTACAAAAATGTGTGTGGAACCATTCAAACCACTTACAAGCCGGAAGCCACCCTGCATGCTAACAGTTTAACTCAGGATTCTAAACGAAAAGATCTGTACCTCAGTCAGGTGTTCTGTCCTAAAACCAAAGCTGTAGAGCTAGCTGGTAAACGGACACAGTAGTTTATGGAGTAGTTACAGGTATAAAATAAAGGGAGAAAATCTCTCCTTCATACCTTTTATGTAGACCATGTTCTTACTTGACTAAAAGACTAGAAGCATTAAAAAGTACATTTGAAAATAAAATACGAATGGAGCTAGTCATTTTCATTCTGAAACACTGAAGCTATTCTTCCTTAAAACATCTTTAATATGGCACAAGAAAACCAGGACCAAAAAAAAAAAAAGTAGCATTTTGCATCATGAAGAGTGTTACTTACCACTGAGTTTTCATTCCCATAGGCTTTATTAATCAGTATGGTCAAAGAGGCATATTACATCTTAGAACTTAAAAAAAAAAAAATAACCTGTTGGCCAGGAAGGAAGACCAAAGGAATCACCTTTGATTTCCAAAGGAGGTGTTTTAAGGATACCAGAATCTATAAAATTAACATCCAACAAATACTGTAAAATACGCAATCTTTTTCTCCTAACCTTCTGCTGGTACTTCCATTTCTGTGCCTTCGTTGCCCTCTGAAGAATGATGACTTCCTAAAAAGAAAATAAACAACATATAATAAACCAATAAAAACTGGCACGGAGAGATGAAAGAGAATCTAGGTAACAATGCAAATAACACAGGACATAATACACATCTGCAAAACGACTGTCTAACTCTTTAGCAGTTCATTCAAACAATGTTTTCTAATTCAGGAAAGAACACAACGCTTCTATTTGGAAGCTAAAAAAATTATTTTAAAATACAAATACAAAGCAGACCTAAGTAGTTTTGGAGATTTAATATTAGTTACTGTAACTACATGATAACATCACTGGATACTGGAATCTGAGGAAGCACAATTGCGCTTCAAGTTCCATGCTCAGCTGTCAATGACACACACACACACACACACACACACAGATCAGAGTGAATGCTTGCCATGCTCAGACACTTAACTCTCTATAAATAAGTTCAGGGTTTGCTGTGAAACATTTCCTGCTTTCCATTTTCAGTATGGTGAAAGCCATAGAAACTCAATCCCCATAATTTCATCAAAGTTGTACTTAAAGGAAACTCGTAAGTTAAAATTTAAGATACTACCTTTAGTCTCAAAAGCATTTTAAGTCAGGTAATATAATCTGCCTGCTTCTAAAAACTGGAACATAAAGCAACGATCAGTTAGGCAGTCACAGGGTAAACAGGCTCATCCCACTAGAGCAGAAGTTTTACCCACAAATAGGGAAGAAAGACTCTAAGACATCAGAGAGCCACTCAGGATTAAGAATCCAAGCTGCCCCCTAATTTGCATCCACTGTCCTCAGAGATCTGAGCTACTAACATGGAAAAACTGGGCAAACGCTGCCTTTAAGTATAAATAAAAACATATTACCTATCGATAAGAATACATCGCTTGGGGGAAAAGGAAGCAGATGCTCATTTATTTTGTCTTATCTGTTGATAACGAAATTCAGAAACTATACTAAAAGTAAGATCTAAGTTATAAATATATTTTATCTTGTATTTTCAAGAGCAAGGCTTACAGTCTGAAAAACTGTCCTTCGGTGGCTGATATCCTTGAATTCAAAGTACCATACTGAGGTCACATCTTTTCGGTTCTCAGTAGCTAGCTTTTATTATGTCACAATTATCTGGGGATTCATTTCCACTTCATATTGTGGAAACTCACCTGAACTCAAAACTCTAAGTGAATCTGTAAACCTATACCCATGAGTCAATCCTTAATTCATTTTTAAAATATGCTTTCTCCATACACTTCCTTTCTCTTTTTTAAATCTTAATCCTTGAATTTATGGAGCAATAAATTCTTTGAGTAGGCCAGGCACGGTGGCTCAAGCCTGTAATCCCAGCACTTTGGGAGGCCGAGGCGGGTGGATCACGAGGTCGAGAGATCGAGACCATCATGGTCAACATGGTGAAACCCCGTCTCTACCAAAAATACAAAAAATTAGCTGGGTGTGGTGGCTCGTGCCTGTAATCCCAGCTACTCAGGAGGCTGAGGCAGGAGAATTGCTTGAACCCAGGAGGCGGAGGCTGCAGTGAGCCAAGATCGCGCCATTGCACTCCCGCCTGGGTAACAAGAGCGAAACTCCATCTCAAAAAAAAAAAAAAAAAAAAAAAAGTCTTTGAGTATAAAATCAAAGAATAAAGAGATGTCAGGTCAAAGGAATGAGAGTGAATCAGACAGCCCCCTGGCACCGAGCAGCCTGAAAGTGCCTAGCCCAAAAGCTAAGGAATGAGCACGAAATGACAAGGCCGGTAGTTAAAAAGCAGAATTTCAGCAAAGAATCACAGTTAAGATGGTACTTCATGTAAGCAATAATTCTGTATGGCTTTTAAAATCTGAAATAAACAATCACATTTACATTATATGCTAAACCTAAAGAAAAGACATCTTACGTGCTCAAAGCCAGAATAGATAGAAATAACATCCACTACTAATAGTCTATGAATATCAAGTTTGGGAACACTACAAAAAATTCCAAAAGAGGTAATCAATTCGAAACTTACAGATTAACAAGCGCTATTTCAGAATCGTTCTAAATACTATCAAGTATCAACATGACCTTATCAATATTCGCATTACTATACTATTGTATAATAGTAACCTGACCTCTGACCATTCTGAGATAAGGTATAAATGTGTACTTTACCTTCATTAGGAAAGTGTGTCATGTACCCATTTCGAGATTCATTACTAGATTCACAAAAGGGAAAATTGATTTTGAAAAATTGTTGCTTGTGAAGTTCATTTATATGTTAAAAAAAGGCCAATACATTTTTTTCCTTTTCCATTTAGAAAAGTAATACTATACTTAATAAATATTAAAACACAGTCTGTGCAAAATAAGGCAACATTCAATATGAACAGTATGTGGGAAAATGGAAGTGAAAAGAGTCTACCTTGCAAAGGCTTCGATACAGGGTGTTTTTCATCAACATCATCGGTTTCAGAAGGGCCTGCTTTGGGATACAAAGATAATACTTCAAAAGTAATCCCCCCCCAAAAATGTGGGGTGACTTTAGTGAACGAATTTTGGTGAGATACATGGGATGGCCTTTTTATAAATAAAAAAGAAAAAATTTAAAAAAAAAAGACTGACAAAATGAGCAATGTCAATTTATGGTCTTAGTGAATGGAAAAATATAATCAGGTAAATTCATATAGAAACAGTCAAAAGAAATTTTGAAGATGACTGGACATATGGATTGAATGGCAATGGTATGTCTAAAATGGAAGATGTGGGTTTTTTAAAACAGTACAATGTTCATAACAGCAAACTATAATTTTTACTTCATAGAGATTACAAATGCAGGTTTATCTTACAGGTGTATCTGTTTCTTCTTTGGCAAATATTTGCTTACTCTTTTGTCATACTGAAGAAAAACGCAGAACCAAATGTTATATACCTTCCTTAGACTCTCTAAAATAATGTAAACTATATCCTTGAATCTCAAACTAAAAGCTATTAATTCATTCTCCCTTTCCCCAGCACCATGGCACTTTTTCTAATAGGGTTCTTTCCAAAATACAGAAAGTACTCTGACTTAAATTCAACTTCACAAACTGCTATATTTTGACAACACATTTTCATGTTATCATGAAACTTTTTCATGATTAAAGTCATAATCGTTTTTAAATAGAAAACAAAGCATTGTGTTTTCAATGGCTATTTAACATATAACACATTTTGGTATTAATATGACCACTGATCAGTTAACTATCTCTGGAGAGAACTGGGAAAACATCCTAAGTCATTTGAAAGGCTTCATTCACTACAACATAAGAAATTTCACAAAGACGCACCAAACTACACATTACAGGCAAAGGACATATCAGAGGAAAAAAAAAAAAAAACCCAACTGCATGAGAAATAAGGAAATAGTTTCTATTTGGAATCTCAAAGAAGAGCAGGTCTTTGAAGGAAGACTCCTAAATTCAAATGCTAGATCCATTGCTTCCTAGTCTTCTGACTCTGCATAAAACATACAGAATTCATGTCAAGGAAGACGTGCTGTTTACAGGATTTAAAAATGCAATGTTAGTTAAGGCTACTAATTGACTTCTAAGTACTGCTTTAGCTGCTCTTCACAAGTTTAACTATGTGGCATTCTCAGTATTCTAGTCTCAATATTTTTAATGAGACGCTCATTAAGTCAATTACAAGCATGCTTCCTAGGATTCCCATTATATACATTTTCTATTAATAATTTAATTTCAGTATGTTTGGAGAATTTATTAAGACAACCTGTGAGCAAGTATACAGTCAATTTTTGTAAATAATTCATGCTCTGTAAATAAACTTATTTCCTGGGTATACAGTTTTCTAGAGTTAAATGTTAACTGTAGTTAAAATATTCTATTTAACATATAAATATTATAAAAGTATTCATCAGCTAGACATATCATTGGTTAAAATCTCCCACATGACTGTACGTATCTATAGACTTATACATTCATCAGAATTTGTACATACTTTTACTTTTGAGGACACATTGTTAGGCACATACAAACTAATGGTTGTTATATCAACTTAGTGACTGATTCCTTTAACTATGACAGTCTTATTCTACCCCTGCTACTACTGTTTTGGCCTCCAATATTGCTAAACTACATTTTTTCAGTTGGTGTTTACTCAATATACCTTCATGTATCACTATACTTCCAAATTATTATTATTTTTTTTTTTTTGAGACGGAGTTTCGCTCTTGTTACCCAGGCTGGAGTGCAATGGCACAATCTTGGCTCACCGCAACCTCTGCCTCCTGGGTTCAAGCAATTCTCCTGCCTCAGCCTCCTGAGTAGCTGGGATTACAGGCACGCGCCACCATGCCCAGCTAATGTTTTGTATTTTTAGTAGAGACGGGGTTTCACCATGTTGACCAGGATGGTCTCGATCTCTCGACCTCGTGATCCACCCGCCTTGGCCTCCCAAAGTGCTGGGATTACAGGCTTGAGCCACCGCGCCCGGCCCTCAAATTATTTTAATGTCACATAATTGAATTTTATTCACCCTAAAACAGGTAGCATATTTAACCTTGACCTTTCAAATGCTAGAGGTGCCTACCACTCATTGAGAAAACCAACACATTCCCGACACTCACAATTGAATACCACTATTTTACACGAGCGAGGAGCACAGAGAAATATAAAAGATTTTTAGAAGAAACATAAACATCCTTTTAAGGAAGAATAAAAAATGAACTGTATTATAATCACACAGTGTAACTACCATTTTTTATTTTTTTGACACAAGCCTCGCTCTTGCCCCCACACTGGAGTGCAGTGGTAGTGATCTCAGCTTATTGCTACCTTCGCCTCCCAGGGTCAAGCGATTCTCCTGCCTCAGCCTCGTGAGTAGCTGAGATTACAGGCACCCGCCACCACGCCCGGCTAATTTTTGTATTTTTAGTAGAGATGGGGTTTCAACATGTTGGCCAGGCTGGTCTCAAACTCCTGACCTCAGGTGATCCACCTGCCTTGGCCTCAAAGTGCTGGGATGACAGGCGTGAGCGACTGCACCCGGCTCATGATGATATTATTAATGAACTATATTATAATCACACAGTGTAACTACCATGATGATATTAGTAAATCTACTTGTGACAAAATAGGTATCTCTTGAAAACCTAAATCGAGTGACAAAGTCAAAAACATATACAGTGTTACCACTGTGTAGACTTAGCTCAGGAAACAGCATATATACAACTATGTGCATGGGCATCACACACACACACACACACACACACACACACACACACACACACACACACTCAGTCCTGGGAGAATATTTATGTCGTAAAACACACCACCACCATCAGGAAGGAGAATTCTCAATCTTATTTTTTGTCTAAGTCAATAAATTTTTATTCAAGGAACTCCATGTCGTGTTTTCTCCCACCGTCCATCAAGGTCACTTCAGATCCTCTAAGAGCTGGAGTAAAAAGATTTCTCTTCAAGTTATTAAAAATGAAACTGATGCTTATTTTAATCCAGTTGTCCTATCAGCTCATAATTCTTTTATTTTTGCTTCTGTCATCTCCTTTTAATATGGATATACTGATAAAGACTTCAAAATTCACCAGGAATCTTTGGGATCTAATTTCTTCAGCCAATTTACTTTAGGGTCCTTCATACTGTAGCGGTAGATGGCCTGGTTCTCAATTTGACACCCTCTCTTAACATGAATGAGTTCAAGTCATATTCCTAAGTGATCACACTCAAGAACAGTACAGATGTGTGGAATATGCCGATACCTTTAACTCCAGACATCGTGTTCTCAAGCCTTTATGGCTATCATACTGCCATCAATTAACTGTCTCAGGTATCATAATATCCCTTTTAATATGTATCAAAACTCATACTGAACAATGAGTTCTGGGTTGCAAAAGAGGATTTATTTTTTGCACCTATCCGTAAGTCTCTGTCTACAAGTTAAACAAAAACATACATAAGTGCAGTGAGAATTCTCAATTTTTTTATTTTTATTTTTTGAGATGAAGTTTCGCTCTTGTTACCCAGGCTGGAGTGCAATGGCGCGATCTCGGCTCACCGCAACCTCCGCCTCCTGGGTTCAGGCAATTCTCCTGCCTCAGCCTCCCGAGTAGCTGGGATTACAGGCACGCGCCACCACGCCCAGCTAATTTTTTGTATTTTTAGCAGAGACGGGGTTTCACCATGTTGACCAGGATGGTCTCGATCTCCTGACCTCGTGATCCACCTGCCTCAGCCTCCCAAAGTGCTGGGATTACAGGCGTAAGCCACCGCACCCGGCCCCAAGAATTCTCAATTTTAAAGATCACGATTAACTTATGAACAACAGAAAGAGAAGTGGGAATTTGGGAGAGCCCAAAGAAGGGCTTCAGTGGGATAGTTACGTGTTATTTCTTGGAGGGAGGAGAGAAGAGATGAATACTAAGGTTCACTAAACCTGGGCAGACTGATACTATGCTTTTAGGTTTTAAATACTTCATTTTAAAAAAGCATGTTAGCACCTGTAATCCCAGCACTTTGGGAGGCCGAGGAGGGTGGATCACCTGAGGTCAGGAGCTGGAGACCAGCCTGGCCAACAGGGTGAAATCCTGTCTCTACTAAAAATACAAAAACTAGCCGGGTGTGTCATCACACACCTATAATCCTAGCTACTCGGGAGGCTGAGGCAAGAGAATCACTGGAACCTGAGAGGTGGAGACTGCAGTGATCCAAGGTCATGCCACTGCACTTCAGCCTGGGCAACAGAGTGAGACTCTGTCTCAAAAAAAAAAAAAAAGAGAGAGAGAGAGAGAGAGAGAGAGAGGGTAATGAAGGCGATGTCCACACAAAAGCTTGTACACAAATGTTCATAGTACCTGTATTTGTAATGGGCCCAAACTGGAAGAACCCAAAGGACTATCAACAGACAAGCAATGAACAGTTTAACCCAGGCATACAATACAATACAAATCAACAATCAGATGAAATCTACAACGACATGCAACGCTGTGGATGAACTTCAAAACAATCATGTGAGGCCGGGTGCAGTGGCTCATGCCTGTAATCCCAGCACTTTGGGAGGCCGAGGCGGGTGGATCATGAGGTCAAGAGATCGAGACCATTCTGGTCAACATGATGAAACCCCGTCTCTACTGAAAATACAAAAATTAGGTGGGCACGGTGGCACACGCCTGTAATCCCAGCTACTCGGGAGGCTGAGGCAGGAGAATTGCTTGAACCCAGGAGGCGGAGGTTGCAGTGAGCCAAGATCGCGCCATTGCACTCCAGCCTGGGTAACAAGAGCAAAACTCCATCTCAAAAAACAAACAAAAAAACAATCATATGAAATCAAAGAAGTCACACTGCTCCCTGCCCCATGAAAATAATCTGCATTTTATGATTTCATTTATAAGACTTTACAGAAAATGCAGACTGCCCTAAAATAGAAAACGGATCCATGTTGCCTGAATACTGGACAGGGCAGGGAAGGACAAGGGGACATACCAAACTTTTAGGGATGTGGATATTTCATTAACTTGGTTGCAATGAAGATGGTGCATTAGTTATGTACATGGTAAAGCTAACCAGATTTTATACTTTAAGTGTTTCATGTATTATAATCATGCCGTGATTTAAAAAATTAAGGCGACTATATCTGCATTTGCCTAATAGGTTTGTTTTGCAACACTAGAACCTGGAATTGAATGCTAAGTTGTGCCACAACTTTCGATATTCCTTTTAAGAACATGAATGGCTATTTTACATATCCCCTCTGGATCGTCTGAGTTGATCTGAGAGCCCCATTGTTTTTCTTTTTTTTGAGATGGCGTTTCACTCTTGCTACCCAGGCTGGAGTGCAATGGCGAGATCTCGGTTCACCGCAACCTCCGACTCCAGGGTTCAGGCGATTCTCCTGCCTCAGCCTCCCAAGTGGCTGGGATTACAGGCATTCACCACCACGCCCGGCTAATTTTGTATTTTTTTAGAGATGGAGTTTCTCCATGTTGGTCAGGCTGGTCTTGAACTCCTGACCTCAGGTGATTCGCCCACCTCAGCCCTGCAAAGTCCTGGGATTACAGGTGTGAGCCACCACACTCAGCCTTATGGCCGCATTTTAAAAATGTTTTATCCCAGTGATTGAATTACAAATAGATATGTCAATCAAGAACTGATCAGTAAAATGCTATTTAAGAAATTAAAGCAATTGATAGGCAAATTTTAATTTTAACCACGAATAATTTTTAGAAAGAAAAATTGCATTAACTCAAATTACCTTGAATGTTATATTGATAATAATCAGGATCTTCTGATTCTTCCTTTACCGTCACAGCTGCCATTTCCAGGGAAATGCCTATAAAAGCAAATGCAATGACATGATTGCATGTCAGAGCTTTCAGCTAGATAGTACAGGAAAATTCTCTCTGCCCTCCCCATAAACACAGCAATGCATATTTATTTTAAATAAAGACTAAGTTTTTGAAAATGCAAAAGTCTGCTAGGTAGCTGAAGGTAAAGATCACCCATAATCCTAGCCAACCCAAAGTTTTAACCGTTTATTAATATTCTGCAATTATTTGCTGTTCATTTTTCTCCAGCAAATTCTTATCTGTAGAATTGAAGAAAATTTAGTCAACACTCCCTTTTCACTTAATATTAAAAATACTTTTACAAACCACTGAAAAACACTTATAAACATCAGTTTTAATAACTTGATATTCCAGAGTAGAGACAGCATAATGCTTAACAATTTCAATAACGAGACACATTTTTTTTTCTCCTAATAAATCCCTTTTATTTATACAAGGGTACAAAGCACACCTCTCTGCATCAAGTTTTGCCCACAGTTAGGACAGAAGACTAGAAGCAGATCTTTGTGGACAGATACAATAAAGTACACATTGTGTAATTTCACTCATATGAAGGTCAAAATAGGCAAAAGCCATTGATGTTATTAAAAAGTTGACTTTGAGCCGGGCGCGGTGGCTCAAGCCTGTAATCCCAGCATTTTGGGAGGCCGAGGCGGGTGGATCACGAGGTCAAGAGATCGAGACCATCCTGGTCAACATTGTGAAACCCCGTCTCTACTAAAGGTGCAAAAAATTAGCTGGGCATGGTGGCGCGTGCCTGTAATCCCAGCTACTCCGGAGGCTGAGGCAGGAGAATCGCCTGAACCTGAACCCAGGAGGCGGAGGTTGCGGTGAGCGGAGATTGCGCCATTGCACTCTAGCCTGGGTAACAAGAGCGAACCTCCGTCTCAAAAAAAAAAAAAAAAAAAATGTTGACTTTGAGAGGGGGTCATGAGGGAGGGGCAGGAGGGCCCTTTCCAGAGTCTTGTTAATGGTCTATATCTTGATGTGGGTATTTTGTTAGGAAGGGTCTGTAATTTTTTTTTTTTTTTTTTTTTTTTTTTGAGACAGAGTCTTGCTCTGTCTCCCAGGCTAGAGTGCAATGGCATGAACTCGGCTCACTGCAACCTTCGCCTCCCAGGTTCATGCAATTCTCCCGCCTCAGCCTCCCAAGTAGCTAGATTACAAGCACCCACCATCATGCCCAGCTAACTTTTGTATTTTTGGTAGAGTTGGGGTTTCACCATGTTGGCCAGGCTGGTCTTGAACTCCTGACCTCAGATGATCCACCAGCCTTGGCTTCCCAAGGTGCTGGGATTACAGGTGTGAGCCACTACACCCGGTCTGTAATTTTTAGTTACTGAGCTATGTACTTACATTTTGCATACTTTATGTGACATTTCAACAGAAAGCTTTAAGAAAGAAAAAAAAAGATTCATATACTCTTCAAAAACAACCCTTCCTGGGTCACCCAGCAGGCTTTGACAACAGGGGCTTAAGGAATGACTTGCCAGGTTCAGCAAGAGAGAGTTCTGGTTTCCCATCCCCCTGGGAGTTCAGCTGCCAGTCCATCCTAGCCACAAGCCAAAGCTGAACAGGTTGAAAACTTAACAACACTTCTTGGAACTGAAAAAGAGGTGGGGATGCAGGGCAAGCTACTGCCCCCATGACTACAGTGCCCGGGAGTCACTCCTCATGCCAGGAGTGGTGGCACGCACCTGTAGTCCCAACTACTCCTGAGGCTGAGGCACAAAAATCACCTAAAACCAGGAGGTAGAGATTGCAATGAGCTGAGATGGTGCCACTACACTCCAGCCTGGGCAACACAGCGAGGCTCTGTCTCAAAAAAAAAAAAAAAAAAAAAAAAGGGAGAGAGAAAGAAAATTACAGCCAACAAAGAAGGCAGATCCACTGAGGATTCAGGATTCAGACCCTTCAGGAATAAAAATTTGGGTCACTACAATTGGTTAAAGAACCTTACATATATTGGCTGGGCACAGTGGCTAATGTCTGTAATTCCAGCACTTTGTGAGGCTGAAGCGGATGGATCACCTGAGGTCAGGAGTTCAAGACCAGCCTGACCAACATGGTGAAACCCCATCTCTATAAAAAAAAATTTTTAATTAAAATAAAAAATAAAATGAAGGCCGGGCGCGGTGGCTCAAGCCTGTAATCCCAGCACTTTGGGAGGCCGAGGCGGGTGGATCACGAGGTCAAGAGATCGAGACCATCCTGGTCAACTTGGTGAAACCCCGTCTCTACTAAAAAATACAAAAAATTAGCTGGGCGTGGTGGCGCGTGCCTGTAATCCTAGCTACTCAGGAGGCTGAGGCAGGAGAATTGCCTGAACCCGGGAGGCGGAGGTTGCGGTGAGCCGAGATCGCGCCATTGCACTCCAGCCTGGGTAACAAGAGCGAAACTCCGTCTCAAAAATAAATAAATAAATAAATAAATAAAATGAAATAAATAAAAATAACAAGGTAAATCCAAAGAAAGTCTGGTAAGCTGCAGAAACGTAGACTGAGGCAACTATGCCTATTCTCTTCCTTGTCTGTTACAAATGTGTTTGTGTAAAGATTAAGTGTTTGCATGTATTAACTATTCTCTTCTGTGCAGTAGTATTTCACGTTAGTTTGTCTGGAGGTTTCCTTTCCACTTGTCCATTAGACTAGATTACTCAAGCAGGTTAGGACTGCATTTGAAGAGTAGGTAATATAGCTCGAGAATGGATTTCCAGTCAGTCTCCCAGGGATGGGTGTGACTGTTGGAATACTGTGTCTCCCAATTTTGAGGAGAGGGTAAAAATGGATTTCTTTGTAGAAAGCAAAGTTGCATCTCATTAGAGGAACAGTTGTCTCGTCGTTGTACAGAACGTCAAATGTGCAGAGAAGGGTATGGATATATGCTGAGTAGCCCAAGAGGGTAGCCTGGGCCAGCCATGAAACTGATGTCTCTCAGTTGCAAACCCATCCTCGGGTTTCTGCTGAAGTTTGAGCTCTGCACAGCAGCTGGCTCTGTGTGAGTCTCTGCCACAAGGACACACTTACAGGGAGACAACAGGCTAGAGAAGGAGAAGGGATCTCGCCCTTCCTTTTGGCTTCTTGTCTGCATTCTCATCCCAACAAGGTCACTCCTTGGTCCCCCACTGAGCCTGGCAAAAGCAGGTCCTCCCATCACAACAACTGCACCCAGCTAGCAAGGTCTCCAACGCCACCAGAAGTAGCCTCACCATGGCCCTCAGCTGCCAGCACCAGCCAGACACGACCCCACCTCAGAAGTCAGATTGAAAGCTGACGGGGTGGCAGTCTCAGCCAAGAACTGTTCCTTACAGGAAACCTTAGTATTCGCCTTTAGGTTACAAAGTTAACAACTTTTTAACTAATTAAAAATCTTTTCCTGAAACAGAGTTTAGCTCTTGTTGCCCAGGCTGGAGTGCAATGGTGCAATCTTGGCTCAACGCAACCTCCACCTCCTGGGTTCAAGCGATTCTCCTCCCTCAGCCTCCCAAGTAGCTAGGATTACAGGTGCCCACCACCACGAATGGCTCATTTCTCGTATTTTTAGTTAGAGATGGGGTTTCACCGTGCCAGTCTTGAACTTCTGACCTCAGGTGATCCCCTCGCCTCGGCCTCCCAAAGTGCTGGGGTTACAGGCATGAGCCACCAAGCCCGGCCAACAATCTTTAAATTAAATTTTCTCTGTTCCAATAACTGATATGGTTTCTGTCTCCTGACTGCACCCTGGCTATACGTGTAAATAAAATAAAAGCTTATTTGCAGGATAAATTAAGAATATAAAGACGCAAAGTGTGAAAGAGAGAAAATAAACCTGTCTGATGCCGACGTGCACATAATGACAGTTGAAGTGATTTGATTAAATACATGAGGTTTCTCAATTCAGCATGTTCCTTTTTGGAGGCAAACAAAATATTCAGGAGATGAATATATGAATTAAGGGGAAAAATTTGCAAAATGATGATTTTTTGGCACAATCTGCTAAAAACTACACAGAAATTTGAGATTTCCTATGGAGTAAAAAGAAAGAAGAAAGAAAAACCTTGAGTAAAACAAGCCAACAGTGTAAAAGATTTAAATACCTTTTCCAAAAAAGGATAATTCAACACTTTCTTGTAGCTCTCCCAGAATACACGTACAGACATAAAAGCCCTCATTCATACGCACGCGCACACACGTAAACGCCGCCCTTCCCTCCTCCCCAACGATTCGTTCCAGATGCCCCTAGATGAGGCGAAGCCGGGCAGGTGGCTGCCCAGGAAGTACAGCAGAATGAGAAGGTGGACAGGGGGTCGGGGAAGCTGCCAAGGGCCTGGTAGACAGAGGCAGACAAAGGGCCCGGCAGGTGGTGACAGCCCACTAAGAAGTATCCCGTGTGAGTAAGGGGGACAGGGCCAAGCAGCGGAAGGACTGACGGTGGCACTGGGACATGGGCTAACACTGGGGAAATGATGAATAAATAAATACGCTGAGAATATCTGGGAGCCATGGTTCTAGACAGAACAGAATTACAAGCAGGGGGCCAGGAGCGATGGCGCGTGCCTGTAATCCCAGGACTTTGGGACGCCGAGGCAGGCAGATCACTTGAGGTCAGGAGTTCGAGACCAGCCTGGCCAACAAGGTGGAACCCCATCTCTACTAAAAATACAAAATTAGCCAGGTGTGGTGTGGCACATGCCTATAATCCCAGCTACTCAGGAGGCTGAAATGGGAGAATCACTTGAACCCAGGAGGCAGAGGTTACAGTGAACCGAGATCAAGCCACCGCACTCCAGCCTGGGTGACAGAGCAACACTCTGTCTCAAAAGAAAAACAAATAAATAAGGAATAAAATATCAATTTTCTTTGAGAATTGAAAATGGTCTCCTTGGAGAGTGGAAAACGGGAATGCAGAGGGAAGGGGGGGACGAAGAGGGTGTTGTATTGATTTTTGTAAAAAGCGCTACGGAACAGCTGACCTCTTACACTAGATGTCTGTATAACTGAAAAAAAAAAAATACATTTTATCTATAAGCATGTGTAGCTGGCAAGGAACTCTGCCTGCCACTTAGCGAGCAGATTACCTTTCTGGGTCTCAATGTGGTAACATTAACAAATAAGGTCACAGTTGGAATACATTTGTAGCGACTGCCTGTTTCTTACCAAAACGAAACAATATTTGAGTCAAAAATATAACCTTCTACATGAAGGAAAAGTCTTCCTTAATTTCACAATTGATTCTAGAAGTGCAAGTACGTACCAGAATCTTCTGTGGGTTCAGTTTTCACTTTGATGGGGCCACAACTGTGGGGAGAAGAGAGCCCTGATCAGGCCACTCGCTGGTGACAGCCATTCCCACAGCATTCAAAGACCCAGGCTCTCAAAGTGTAAGATCCCTCCCTGACCAAGGCAGGTGCGAACCTGACTCACCTTAAAACTGACCTATTTACTTCTCGTATAAATAAGGGTTATCAACCGAACTTAGTACTATAATTTGTTTTTTTTTTAAGATGGAGTCTCCCTCTGTCACCCAGGCTGGAGTATAGTGGCGTGATCTAGGCTCACTGTAACCTCCGCCTCCTGGGTTCAAGTGATTCTCCTGCCTCAGCCTCCTGAGTAGCTGGGATTACAGGTGTATGTCACCACACCCAGCTGATTTTTGTATTTTTAGTAGAGACGGGCTTTCACCATGTTGGTCAGGCTGGTCTCGAACATCTGACCTCAGGTGATCCACCCACCTCGGCCTCCCAAAGCGCTGGAATTACAGGCGTGAGGCACTACACCCAGCCTTAGTACTTTAATTTCTATCTATCTTTTGGGGAAAAAAGTACAATAAAATACTATTGAGTAGCATATTAAGAGTTATCAACTAGCCGGGCGCGGTGGCTCAAGCCTGTAATTCCAGCACTTTGGGAGGCCGAGGTGGGTGGATCACGAGGTCAAGAGATCGAGACCATCCTGGTCAACATGGTGAAACCCCGTCTCTACTAAAAATACAAAAAATTAGTTGGGCATGGTGGCGCGTGCCTGTAATCCCAGCTACTCGGGAGGCTAAGGCAGGAGAATTGCCTGAACCCAGGAGGCGGAGGTTGCGGTGAGCCGAGATCACGCCATTGCACTCCAGCCTGGGTAACAAGAGCAAAAAACTCCATCTCAAAAAAAAAAAAAAAAGTTATCAACTAAACTTAGGACTTTAATTTCTATCTTTTGGAGAAAATAGTATAATAAAATATAACAATATAACAGAATAGCATATTAACTTCCAAATACCACTCTAAGGCTTTCCCATTCAGTGTGACTAATCTCCCTGGCTTCACCCCATGGAACTCTGCTACTCAGAAAAAACAAGTAAAAGAGGGCATGTTCACAAGATCCCCAAAGAATATCCTTGCCTACTAAACTTTGAGATGTGTGACCTAAGGCCTTTTTAATATTCTAATAGCTCAATTATCTAACAACTAAAACTTTTTGAGGCATGGGAGTTAAACAGCAGTAATAAAATTAGGTTTTACCTTCCACCTGGAGATAGTATTGATCTGTCAGCATCTGTTACCATCACACGACCACCTATGCACACAAAAAAATTAGAGTTAGTTTTTTCAACATTTCAAATATAATTTTTTTTTTTTTTTGAGACAGAGTCTCACTCTGTTGCCAGCTGGAATGCAGTAGTACGACATAGGCTCACTACGACCTCCGCCTCCCGGGTTGCAAGCAATTCTCCTGCCTCAGCCTCCCGAGTAGCTAGGACTACAGGCATGCATCACCATGCCCAGCTAACTTTTGTATTTTTAATAGAGACGGGGTTTCACTATGTTGGCCAAGATGGCCTCGATCTTCTGACCTCGTGACTGCCTGCCTCAGGCTTCCAAAGTGCTGGGATTACAGGCGTGAGCCACTGCACCCGGTCTAAATATAGTATTTCTAAAGGCTTTAAATATAGAATGAGTGGGGGTAGAACTAGGCTTTGCAGCTCTGGATTCACAGAATAATAAACACTGATTTTCATCCCTTCACCCAACCACACCCTCCTTTAATGAAAAAGCTCTTATTTTCATCAGTGAGAGAAATACAGAAACATACCATTTGTCTAGTAAGGTAGAATATGTAGAATACGACTCTGCTGATGTATAAACGATGATATAGATTTTTTTTTTTTTGAAACAGGGTTTCACTCTATTGCCCAGGCTGGTATGCAGTGGCATGATCATAGCTCAATGCAGCCTCAAACTCTTAAGACGACCAAGGGGTCCTCCCACGTCAGCCTCCTGAGTAGCTGGTATTACAGGTGCATGCCTCATCACTCCAGCTAGTTGTTTTCTATTTTTTATAGAGATTGGATCTTGCTATGTTGCCCAGGCTGGTCTTGAACTTCTGGTCTCAAGGGTGACTCCTACTCTGGTCTCCCAAGAATTGAGATCAGGCTGGGTGCAGTGGGTCACACCTATAATCCCAGCACTTTGGGAGGCAGAGACGGGTAGATAAATTGAGCCCAGGAGTTTGAGACCAGCTTGGGCAACAGGGTGAAACCCCATCTCTACAAAAAAAAAAAAAATTAGCTGGGTGTGGTGGCATGCACCTATCTGGGAAATTGACACGGGAGGACTGCTTGACCTGTGATGGGGCCACTGCACTCCAGCTTGGGTGACAGAGCGAGATCTTGCCTGGAAAAAAAAGTGGGGTGGGGAGAAGAGAGGGCGGACACCCTTGCCCCCACAAAAAGTGACTCCATTTATATGAAAATCAGGAAAATGCACATGAATCCACAGTGGCCGCACAAAGCTGAGTGGCTGTGTGGGAAAGGGGCGGGCAGGAACAGAGGGAGGAACGCCCGGAGCCATGAGGCCCTTGGGAGTGACAGACATGTTCGTTACCTTGATGGTGGCCATGGCGTCAGAGTAGATACGTGGCTCAAAACTGACTCCACTGCACTTTAAGTATTTGTCACTTACTGTGTGCCCATTGTAACTCAAAAGCCAAAACACTTTTTAACAGACTGGAAAATAAAATCCCATTACAATGACAACTTTTCAAAGGGCACTGGGCATTGTGTTGGCAGCTCACTGTCAAATGGTCCAAAAAAAAGTTCCTTGTGCTGTACGTGGAGGCTTTCGGGGGGGCTTTCTGTTAGCTTGCAATCGTTTCAAACTGTAACTTATTTTGAAACAAAAATAAGTTACTGTTTTGAGGGTTGGTATGGCAAAAAACTGAATCTATAAGCCTGTCCACTTCGGTCCCACAGGATAAAACACCCTTTGAAACTATTCCTTAACTCATAACCAGGCCCCAAAGTCTCAAAAGAAGTACCTAGGGGGAAAAAACCTTCGGCCGGGCGCGGCGGCTCACGCCTGGAATCCCAGCACTTTGGGAGGCCGAGGCAGGCAGGATCATGAGGTCAAGAGATCGAGACCATCCTGGTCAACATGGTGAAACCCCGTCTCTATTAAAAATACTAAAAATCAGCTGGGCATGGTGGCTCACGCCTGTAATCCCAGCACTTTGGGAGGCCGAGGCAGGCGGATCATGAGGTCAAGAGATCGAGACCATCCTGGCTAACATGGCGAAAACCCTGTCTCTACTAAAAATACAAAAATTAGCCAGGCATGGTGGCTCACACCTGTAATCTCAGCACTTTGGTAGGCCAAGAAGAGCAGATCAAGAGGTCAAGAGATTGAGACCATCTTGGACAACATGGTGAAACCCCATCTCTCCTAAAAAATACAAAAAAAATGAGCCCGGCATGGTGGTACGCACTTGTAGTCCCAGCTACTCGGGAGGCTGAGGCAGAAGAATCACTTGAACCGGGAGGTAGAGGTTGCAGTGAGCCGAGGATAGCACTGCTGCACTCCAGCCTGGTGTCAGAGCGAGACTCTGTCTCAAAAATAAATAAATTAAAATAAAACAAAAATACAAAAATTAGCTGGGCATGGTGGTGGACACCTGTAGTCCCAGCTACTTGGGAGGCTGAGGCAGGACAATTGCTTGAACCCGGGAGGCAGAGATTGCAGTGAACCGAGATCATGCCACTCCATTTCAGCTTGGTGACATAGTGAGACTCCACCTCAAAAAAAAAAAAAAAAAAAAAAAAAAACTTCATAAAATATATATGGCACAACACTAGGCCAATCTAAAACACTTCCACGAAAAAAGACATTATCAACAAAAAGTATGAATTTCCATAGAAAAAAATAAGTATGTGACATAATGAATATCTTATCTTAGAATATCTTGATTTAGTGATTTCACAATGTATGTAACATGTTACACACAATAAATTTATACAATTTTTATGACAATTTGAAAAACGGATTTTTAGTCTGGGGAGGAGGCTCATGCCTGTAATCCCAACACTTTGGGAGGCCGAGGCAGGCAGATTACTTGACTCCAGGAGCTCCAGACCAGCCTGGCCAACATGGCAAAAGCTTGTCTGTACAAAAAAAAGTTCCAAAATTTGACTGAGTATGGCGGTGCGTGCCTGTAGTCCTAGCTACTGAGAAGCTGAGGCAGGAGGATCACTCGAGCCTGGGACGTTGAGGCTACACTGAGCTGAGATCGCACCACTGCACTCCAGCTTGGGCTACAGAGTAAGACCCTATCTCCAAAAAAAAATTTTTTTTTAAGTAAAAGATAACAGAACATTGATAATCACTAGAGAAATTTTTAAAAATCAAACCATTTCACACCTATGACAATGGCTAAAATCAAGAAGTAAGTTGGAGGGAACCCTCCTACCCTGCTGCTGGAGTATGGACAGCCACTTTGGAAAACAGCTTGTCAGTTTCTTAAAAGACCAGTGTAGCCGGGCATGGTGGCTCACGCCTGTTAATCCCAGCACTTTCGGAGGCCGAGGCGGGTGGATCACGAGGTCAAGAGATCGAGACCATCCTGGTCAACATGGTGTAACACCATCTCTACTAAAAATACAAAAATTAGCTGGGCATGGTGGTGCGCCTGCAGTCCCAGCTACTCAGGAGGCTGAGGCAGGAGAATTGCTTGAACCCAGGAGGCGGAGGTTGCAGTGAGCCGAGATCGCGCCATTGCACTCCAGCCTGGGTAACAAGAGCGAAATTCCGTCTCAAAACAAAAAACAAAAAACAAAAAACACTAGTGTAAATTTGCCCTGTTCCTAGTAATTGCACTGCAACTTCTGTATCCCAGAGATATTAAGGACTATGTCCAGACAAAAACTTGTTCAAGTATATTCACTGTAACATTATTCCCAATAGCCAAAAGTGGAAATAACTGAAATAGGTATCAACCTGATGATTGGATAAGCAGGCAGTATGTTATGTAATAGAATAGTTAGTGCTCAGCAATAAAAAGAAACTACTGATACACCCACCAAGCTTGATGAGCCTGGAATGAATGATGCTCAGTGAAAAAAGCCAATTTCAATAGGATACATACTATATATTCCATTTCTATAACATTCATGAAATTATAATAGAGATAAGGATAGCTGAAAACATCCCAAAATTAAACTGTGATAATGGGTGAAAAACCCTTTAAAAAATTTAAGATTGTAAATTTACTATTAGTGAATTATATACTTAAGACAGGTGAATTTAGCTGGGTGCAGTGGCTCACGCCTGTAATCCCAACACTTTGGGAGACCAAGGTGGGCAGATCATTGGAGGTCAGGAGTTCGAGACCATCCTGGCTAGCATGGTGAAAACTCGTCTCTACTAAAAAGACAAAAAATTAGCCAGGAATGGTGGCACGCGCCTGTAGTCCCAGCTACTTGGGAGGCTGAGGCATGAGAATCACATGAACCCAGAAGGCAGAGGCTGCAGTGAGCTGAGATCACGTCACTGCACTCTAGCCTTGGCAACAGAGCAAGACTCCATCTCAAAATATAATAATAAAATAAAATAATACAGGTGAATTTTATGGTGTATCAATTATACCTCAGTAAAGCTGCTAAAAAATTAGTCTTTTCACCACAATGAGAATAAAACAAAGGTTAACAGAAAACACAATGTGTGTTTTTATATATATATATAAATTTTTCCTTTCATCCTTACATGGTTAAGAGTATTCCAATGATACTGGTTATTTACTTTCAAAAGTCTCAAATAATCCTGGCTCCAAAGGGTACCACTCTATCCTGTTTTCCCTTCAAATGAAATGGCTAGACTTTCCTAAAGGAAGCTGAAATCTTATGGTTCACCCATTATCTAAAAAAAAAAAAAAAAAAAGGAAGCTGAAATCCTCATAATTCTTCAAGAGCCCATTGAAATGCCCTCTTCCTCATGGACTCTTTCCTGAAATACAAAGGAATCCAACCTCCAAAAACACCCACAGCCCTTTCTCAGAACCATTCTTGCCATAGGGATGTGACACTCTCGCCATGCTCACTTTATGAACGTTGCTCTCTTCCGTGAGACTCCCAGCGCTCAAAAGCTGTAATGTTGATACACAGCTGTGTATCAAGGACCTTCCCAGCCAATGCTCTGCCCAATAATGCCTTGCCTAGTCAATGACATTGGGTCAATTAAATCCTACTCATAGCCGGGTGCGGTGGCTCAAGCCTGTAATCCCAGCACTTTGGGAGGCCGAGGCGGGTGGATCACGAGATCGAGAGATCGAGACCATCCTGGTCAACATGGTGAAACCCTGACTCTACTAAAAATACAAAAAACTAGCTGGGGGTGGTGGCGCGTGCCTGTAATCCCAGCTACTCAGGAAGCTGAGGCAGGAGAATTGCCTGAGCCCAGGAGGCGGAGGTAGCGGTGAGCCGAGATCGCGCATTGCACTCCAGCCTGGGTAACAAGAGCGAAACTCTGTCTCAAAAAAAAAAAAAAAAAAAAATCCTACTCATAATTCTGCTGAGGGCAGATACATGATCTTCTATAGAAAACAAGCAGCGGAGCTGAAAAGAAAAAAACGAGTCTCCACTGTTTTAGCTCAATGAATCTTTCTCGGATTATATAAACATCCCATCTGAAAATGTCTGACATCGTATTCTCAAAGAAAATAAAGAGAAACCATCCAAGTGTATTAAAATCTAGCAAAATGGGTTTAGGAAGCCAGCCAGCTATCAAGGAAGGGAAGCAATCACTTACCTAGATGCTTCTTTGGCTCTAAGAAAGGTCTGCATAGAAACAAAACAAAACTCCGTATGAATACACACAATTATTGTAGAGCATAAATTTAAATGACATCTCGGCTAAATAAGAATTTAAAAACAAAAAAAAAGATATAAAAAAAGAAAATAAATAAATAAATAAAAACAAAAACGTATTAACATAAACTGAATATTCAGACTGATATGAATCAACTGGGGATGGGTACAATGGGAGGCAGCGCTTCACCTCTTAATGATGAATGAAATCCCTGCTTTGTTCTCCAAAATCCATTTCAGGGTTGCAAGATCATAGTTCTCGGGGTGTTTAAAGGCAACGCCTTCCGGAAGCCCCTGCACCACCACAGCCGACTGGTCTCGTAACATCTTCTCATACGGAACAGGTACCACTGTGGATTTGCCTAAAGCTTTCCCTGGGGGGAGGTGAAAAGCAGAGGAACATCACTCAATGGTAAGACCAAACAACTAAATCATAGCTAGCTTATAGTGGCTTAAAAAAGGGGTCCACGCCGGGCGCGGTGGCTCAAGCCTGTAATCCCAGCACTTTGGGAGGCCGAGGTGGGTGGATCACAAGGTCAAGAGATCAAGACCATCCTGGTCAACATGGTGAAACCCCGTCTCTACTAAAAATACAAAAAATGAGCTGGGCATGGTGGTGCATGCCTGTAATCCCAGCTACTCAGGAGGCTGAGGCAGGAGAATTGCCTGAACCCAGGAGGCGGAGGTTGCGGTGAGCCGAGATTGCGCCATTGCACTCCAGCCTGGGCAACAAGAGCGAAACTCCGTCTCAAAAAAAAAAAAAACAAAAAACAAAAAAAAAAGGGGTCCACAATTTTTTATACTATGTGATTTCAAAATTAATTAATATTACGGCATTGTGTCTCCCCATGTGGGCACAAGGGCTAAACCTGAAACTGAGCCAAAGAGCCAAAATGAGAAGTATATAAAATATTTTACTTTAAAACCTACACAGAAGTAGAGAGCAATGGCTGGTTTCTTGCACTACTGTCTTTCTTGAAGATGGTCCCATGGGCATATTCTCAGGTACAATTTGGCCTCAGAATATAGAAGCCCAGTACATCCAACTATTTTTATTTTATTTTATTTAGTTATTTTTTGAGACAGTTATTTATTTATTTATTTTAGAGACAGAGCCTCGCTCTGTCACCTGAGGCTGCAGTGCAGGGTGCAATCTCGGCTCACTGCAATTTATTTATTTGTTTGTTTATTTATTTATATATTTGAGACACAGTCTCGCTCTGTCACCCAGGCTGGAGTGCAGTGGCGCAATCTCCGCCCACTGCCATCTCCACCTCCTGCGTTCAAGCGACTTCTCCTGCCTCAGCCTCCCTAGGAGCTAGGATTACAGGCACGCGCCACCATATGCAGCTAACTTTTGTGTTTTAGCAGAGACAGAGTTTCACCATGTTGGCCAGGATGGTCTGGATCTCTTGACCTCGTGATCCACCCGCCTCAGGCCTCCCAAAGTGCTGGGATTACAGGCGTGAGCCACTGCGCCCGGCCACATCCAACCTATTACCATAAAATACTAAGAACGTTTTGGCTAATATTCTTGTTGAAAACTTACCAGGTAAACACAAGCTTCCCATTCGCAAATGAGCACATTCTGTCAGCCTACCAAGCAGCAAAGCTCACACGTGCTGAAAATCCCATTCCAGAGAGTTGAATTTCATCTATGACCCCACAGTAAAACCTCAATCTTCTACTTTGACTGTTTTCCTGTAAGACCTTTGTTTTTTTGATGTGATAGAACTAAAAAAAGGTAGCTTTGCAGGGAACTGGAAAGATAAGCACCCATGAGAGAAGGAAACAGCTCAACTGGTGTGGTGGCTCATCCCTGTCATCCCAGCACTTTGGGAGGCCAAAGCAGGCAGATCACCCGAGGTCAGGAGTTCGAGACCAGCCTGGCCAACATGGTGAAACCGCATCTCTACTAAAAACACAAAAATTAGCCTGGCCAGCATAGTGTTGTGCGCCTGTAGTCCCAGCCATTTGGGAGGCTGGGGCAGGAGAACTGCTTGAAACCGACAGGCGGAGGCTGCAGTGGGCCAAGATCACAGCACTGCACCCCAGCCTGGGCGACAGAGCAAGACTCCATCTCATCTCAAAAAAAGAAGAAAAAAGAAACAGCTCTAAAGAAACACACACAAAAAAGAAACAGCTCTACTAGCCACATTTCTTCCTGGGTTCATTCGAAATGGAAAAGGAAGGTACAGTTATTGCTAACCCAATCAATCAGTGAAAATGTCTGTTATTGTTATATGATTTTCAAATCAATTACATAATCTACCCTTTAGAAAACTCAATTATATACTGTATCTTTTAGAAAAATTAAGTGTATTGCTTTTACCGTAGCAAAAGCAGAAATAGTCCTCAACTGTTTTTCTGAGTGTTTCGATTTCTACCGCGTCTACACTCATCCGATTCGCCTGGGTTGTAGATTTCATCTTATGCATCTCTGCAGCCTTTTCTTCTTCTTCAACACCTGTAAAAACAAGAGTAACAAAAAGGTTCACATCCAGTACCTTAATATTTATTTGGCTTTCAGTAAAAATAGTTTTCCTGTATTCCAACAGGGAAAACTGTTTTTTAACATGTATTCTAACAGGAAAAAAAAATTTCTTAACTATTCTTTAACATTTATTAATCATTTTAACAAGCAACTTGTTATAAAATAACAAGTCATTTGTGATTTGTTATACAAGCAAAAAAGAGGTCTGTAATCCCACCACACTGGGAGGTGAAAGCAGGAAGATTGCTTGAGCCTAGGAGTTCAAGACCAGCTTTGGCAAACTAACAAGAACCCATTTCTGCAAAAGTATGAAAATAGCCAGGTATAGTGGTGAGCGTCTGCAGTCCTAGCTGTCTGGAGGCTGAAGCGAGAATTGCTTGAGCCCAGAAGTTTAAGGCTGCAGTGAGCTATGATCAGGCCGAGACCAGAGCAGGGCACTACTTAGTTCTAACCAGCGGAGAACCGCGTAAGCAGGCAGGACGGAGAAAGTGGAGAAAAATCGCGCTGCCAGCAGGATTACGGTGCTGGTGGGGCCGACGGCAGCTGATACACACACAATCAAAACAGCATTGTTAGTATAAAGAAACACACAAACAGGCCGGGCGCGGTGGCTCAAGCCTGTAATCCCAGCACTTTGGGAGGCCGAGGCGGGTGGATCACGAGGTCGAGAGATCGAGACCATCCTGGTCAACATGGTGAAACCCCGTCTCTACTAAAAGTGCAAAAAATTAGCTGGGCATGGTGGCACGTGCCTGTAATCCCAGCTACTCAGGAGGCTGAGGCAGGAGAATTGCCTGAGCCCAGGAGGCGGAGGTTGCGGTGAGCCGAGATCGCGCCATTGCACTCCAGCCTGGGTAACAAGGGCGAAACTCCGTCTCAAAAAAAAAAAAAAAAAAAGAAACACACAAACAGAATCAAGGTCTAAACATTTCTCAACAATATTGACAAAATCTTAAAAATAGGCTACTAACATAAAGCTTAGATGATTACAGCATGGGGGTGGGGGGGCAGGGGGAGGAATACAGTGGCAGGGGTAATTTTTAAAAGAAACTAAAAAAAAAAAAAATTGGTGAATTAACAAAACTTTTTATTCACTAGTAATTTGCCCATTGTATCACAAATTTAATCTGACAATGGAAATTCAACTTTAGACCTTAATGGCATACAGGCATCTGCAAGAGATATTGTGGGTTCAATTCCGGACCACCACAATAATGCAAGTATAAAGTCAAGTCAGACAAATTTTCTCGTTTCCCAATGCATATAAAAGTTACACTGACTCTTGCTTTCACGAAAGATCTCTCTTTAGTGTGACACTATTTGACAGCATTTATCCAGAGTAGAACTTCATTCGAAATTGGAGTCAATCCTCCAAAACTCTGCCATTCCTTTATAAACTAAGTTTATGTCATATTCTAAATCCTTTGTCATTTCAAGAACGTTTATGGAGGTTGCAGTGAGCTAAGATTGCGCTACTGCACTCCAGTCTGGGCAACAAGAGCAAAACTGTCTCAAGAAAAAAAATAAATAAAAGATGGCTGGGCACAGTGGCTCCTGCCTGTAATCCCAGTGCTTTGGGAGGCCAAGGTGGGTGAATCAGGAGGTCAAGAGATCGAGACCATCCTGGTCCAACATGGTGAAACCCTAATCTCTACTAAAAATGCAAAAATTTACCAGGCGTGGTGGTGTGCACCTATAGTCCCAGCTTCTCAGGAAGCTGAGGCAGAAGAATCACTTGAACCCAGGAGGCAGAGGCTAGTGAGCTGAGATCCTGCCACTGCACTCCGGCCTGGGTGACAGAGTGAGACTTTGTCTCACACACACATGAAAAAAGGCCGGGAGTGGGATAGGGCACTGTGATTCATGCCTGTAATTTCGGCACTTTCAGAGGCCAAGGTGGGTGGATCACGAGGTCAGGAGTTTGAGACCAGCCTGACCAACACAGTGAAACCCTATCTCCACTAAAAATACAAAAATTAGCTGGGCATGGTGGTGGGCGCCTGTAATCCCAACTACTCAGGAAGCCGAGGCAGGAGAGTCGTTTGAACCCAGGAGGCAAAGGTTGCAGGAAGCCGAGATTACACCATTGTACTCCAGCATGAAGGACAGGGAGAGACTCCATCTCAAAAAAAAAAAAAAAAAAAAAAGAAAAGAAAAAAGACCAGGAGTGGTGGCTAATGCCTGTAATCCCAGCACTTTAGGAGGGTGAGACAAGTGCATCACCTGAGGTTAGGAGTTCGAGACCAACCTGGCCAACGTGACAAAACCCCGTCTCTACTAAAATTACAAAAATTGGCTGGGAATGGTGGTGGGCACCTGTAATCCCAGTTACTCAGGAAGCTGAGGTGGGAGACTTGCTTGAACCCGGGAGGGAGAGGTTGCCGTCACACACATACACATTTAGAGTGAATATTCTGAATGCTCAAAATCTACTGAAATTTGCTTTCTAATAAGATTCATAGGCTGGGTGCAGTGGCTCAAGATCACGCCACTGCACTCCAGCCTGGGCAACAAGAGCAAAAAAGTCCACCTCAAAAAAAAAAAAGAAAACAACTCCTTATCTGAGTAAAACTTTTAATCTATTCAGAATTTTTCTACCTTCATTACCTTCTCTCTAATGTGTCTCAGGAATCTAGAGTAAAGCCAGGCAGAAACTCTGTACGGTAAACGCTGCTATTTTTAACTCTTCAGTATCTATCCGGATATATTTCAGTGATTCCTTTTGAGCATTCTGAAATGTCTCCATAAACATTTTAGAAAATCTTTTTTAGTTCAAACCTCATTCTGCTTTAAAATATGACCTGCCTTACCTACAAATATTCAGGCTTAAAATTAATGAAATGCAAAGGATAAAAATACAATGCTTACAATATTTTACAAAATCTTTTTGAAAATCCTTTCTGGTATTGACAAAAGCACGTCCTCTCTCGGTTCCGACGACAAACACGTCTGTTTCATACACTGCGATGCAAGCCACTTCGGCTTTGGACTTGGCCAGTTCTTTACACTACAATACAAACAGCAGACAGAACGTTACACGCGGACATTTAAGAGCACCATTTCTGCTCAGTGAATTTTGAAAAACCTAACAACATTTTTTAAAGGTTCTTCTCGTTCAAAATAGTTTTTGGCCTGATTTTGAACAAAAGACAACACAGAATTTATAAGGAAAAAAAAAGAAGACATCTCGTGTCATCTCTTAGAGGTCAGAGTCCCCAAGAAGCAGATGCAGAGTTCACCCGGGCTTGCTCTGGGACACTGTCACTGACAGCACTGGGGAGCAGGGAGGCAGGCAGGGCTGGACAGGGGAGGCGCTGAACACTGATACAGCTGCACCCAGAGCTAGATGCTGGCATGACCGTCCCCAGGGAAAGGGTAGGACCTTGGGCCAGGTGGCTCCAACAGTCATGGCATCTGGGGCAATTAGTACCATCAATACTAAAGGAGGAGGGGTCTGAAACCCACGCTACAGCATGCATGACCTAATCCCTACCTCCAGAAGTGTTCCCCTGTGCACACACAACCAGAATAACATTTAGGTGGGTAGAGTATTTACTGACTTCTACTACATATATTTCTACAAGATGAAATATTCTCTAAAAATGCTGTAGAGTATATAGTGTTCCATTTAATAAATATACCTTGATTCAGTGTCAAAATTATTTAAAAGTTTAGTGATTCCAATTTTTCCCACTAAAAATAATACCCCCATAATAATCTGAGAAAAAAAAATGTATGGGCATCATTCTTTTTTTGAGACAGAGTCTCGCCAGGGTCGGAGTGTGGCACCGCCATCTTGGCTCACTGCAACCTCCACTTCCAGGGTTCAAGCAGTTCTCCTGCCCCAGCCTCCCGATTCGCTGGGTCTACAGGTAATTTTTGTGTGTATTTAGTAGAAACAGGGTTTCACAATGTTGGCCAGGCTGGTCTTGAACTCCTAACCTCAGGTAATCCACCAGCTTGGCCTCCCAAAGTGCTGAGATTATAGGCGTGAGCCACCACGACCAGCCTTATATGCATCTTAAATGACTCTCAAAACAGATCCAAAGATATGAGTGTCAAAAAAAAAAAAAAAAAAACCATACACACACATTGAGAGTAAATGCTCTGAATGCTCAAAATCTACTGAAATTTGTTTTCTAATAAGAGTCATAGGCTGGGCACAGTGGCTCATGCCTGTATTCCAGCACTTTGGGAGGTCAAGGCAGGTGGATCACTTGAGGTCAGGAGTTTGAGGCCAGTGTGACCAACATGGTGAAACCCCATCTCTACTTAAAAACAACAACAACAACAAATAATTAGCCAGGTGTGGTGGCAGATGCCTGTAATCCCAGCTACTTGGGAAGCTGAGGCAGGAGAACCACTCCCAGGAGGCGGAGGTTGCAGTGAGCCGAGATCACGCCACTGCATTCCAGCCTCAGTGACACAGTGATCGTCCGTCTCAAAGAAAAAAAAAAGAGGGCGGGCGAGGTTGCTCACACCTGTAATCCCAGCACTTTGGGAGGCCAAGGTGGACAGATCGCCTAAGGTTAGGAGTTCGAGACCAGCTTGACCAACATGGTGAAACTCTACTAAAAATACAAAAATTACCCAGGCATGGTGACAGGCGCCTGTAGTCCCAGCAACTCGGGAGGCTGAGGCAGGAGAATCACTTGAACCCAGGAGGCAGAGGTAACAGTGAGCCAGGATCATGCCACTGCACTTCAGCCTGGGCGACAGAGCGAGACTCTGTCTCAAAAAAAAAAAAAAAAGAAAGAAAAAGAGAGAAAGAAAGAACAAGGAAAAAATTTCCTGAGCCTCATGCTTTTTATATACTATCAAATACTATGTTCAGCTACATACCCATAAAAACATAATAAATAAAATGTATAACTGCCATCCCAGTAATATAAAAATACAGCCAGGCGAGGTGGCTCATACATGTGATCCCAATACTTCAGGAGGCCGAGGCGGGCAGGTCACATGAGGTCAGGAGTTCAAGATCAGCCTGGCCAACAAGGTAAAACTTCGTCTCTACTAAAAATACAAAATTTAGACAAGCATTGTGGTGGGTGCCTGTAATCCCAGCTACTCAGGAGGCTGAGGCAGGAGAATCACTTGAATCTGGGATGTGGAGGTTGCAGTGAGCCAAGATTGTGCCGCTGCACTCCAGCATGGGCAACAGAGCAAGACTCTCAAAAAAAAAAAAAAAAAAAGAAAAAAAAACTATAGCATTAATGCTTAATATTTCACTGTAATTATGCATATCGTAGCTTGTTTTTAAAAAAGAGCTAAAACTACACAATTTAGAAGCAAGTGGCAAATGCAATAGTTACGTATAAGCAGAATAAAAAATATATATAAAATAATAAATAAGCCCTTATAGCCCCCAGTCCTGGTACCCTTCTATACAGACACAATAAAACTCTAGCACCATCCTCTAGTATACAAACTCATTCCGAATAATCGCTAATCTTATAGATAAATTCAAAGTTAATACTTGCAAAACAAATGACTGCCTACGGTAATGGCAGAAAAAAATTTTAAGACTCAATATAAAAGTTAAGGCTGGGCGCAGTGGCTCACACCTATAATCCCAGCACTTTGGGAAGCCGAGGTGGGCAGATCACTTGAGGTCGAGAGTTCGAGACCACCGTGACCAACATGGAGAAACCCCATCTCTACTAAAAATACAAAATTAGACAGGCATGGTGGTGCATGCCTTTAATCCCTGCTACTCAGGAGGCTGAGGCAGAAGAATCGCTTGAACCCGGGAGGCGGAGATTGCCGGGAGCCAATGGGAGCATCATTGCACTCCAGCCTGGGCAACAAGAGTGAAACTCCATCTCAAAAAACATAAAATAAAATTAATTAATTAATTAAAAAGTTAAACACTGAGGTAAGTTAAGATTCCGAAGCATGGTAATAAAATGTGACTTGGGCCAGGCATGGTGGCTCACACCTGTAATTCCAGCACTTCGGGAGGCTGAGGTGGGTGAATCACCTGAGGTCGGGAGTTAGAGACCAGCCTGGCCAACAAGGTGAAACCCCATCTCTACTAAAAATACAAAAATTAGCCGGGCATGGTGACGTGCATCTGTAATCCCAGCTACTCAGGAGGCTGAGACACGAGAATCGCTTGGACTCAGGAGGCAGAGTTGACAGTGAACCGAGATCACGCCATTGTACTCCAGCCTGGGCAACAAGAGTGAAATTCCATCTCAAAAAATAATAATAATAAATATAAAGTCAAATCCAATGTGACTTGAAAGGCTTAAATCCATAACTATTATTCAAGGAAAAAAGCTACTCATTGACCAGGCGTGGCAGCTCACACCTGTAATCACAGTACTTTGGGAGGCCAACGGTGGGTGGATCACAAGGTCAGGAGTTTGAGAGCAGCCTGGCCAAGATGGTAAAACCCCATCTCTACTAAAGATACAAAAATTAACTGGGCATGGTGGCAGGCACCTATAATCCCAAGGCTAAGGCAGGAGAATCCCTTGAACCCAGGAGGTGGAGGTTGCAGTTAGCTGAGACTGCACCACTGTACTCTACCCTGAGCAACAGAGCAAGAGTGTCTCAAAAAAAAGAAAAAACAAAACTACTCATTAAAACTAAAAAGCAGGCCAGGCAAGGTGGCTCACGCCTGTAATCCCAGCACTTTGGGAGGCCAAGGTAGGCACATCACCTGAGGTCAGGAGTTCAAGACTAGCTTGGATCAACATGGAGAAACCCCATCTCTACTACAATTACAAAATGAGCCAGGCTTAGTGGCACATGCCTGTAATCCCAGCTACCCGGGAAGGCTGGGGCAGAGAACCACTTGAACCCGGGAGACGGAGGTTGTGGTGAGCCAAGATCGCACCACTGCACTTCAGCCTGGGTGACAAGAGCAAAACTCCAACTCAAAAAACAAAAACTAAAAAACCTAAAAGTCTTATCTTCTACAAAAACAAATCAATCTTATCTGCAGCCCAGGCCTATCCAACTATGAGATGACAGAGCAGAAGGTCTCACCATGGACTCGAGAGCTGACATGAGGAATGTCACCACCATCCTGCTCTCCGAGGACTCCTCATCTTCAACGGGCAGGGTGGACATTGCAACTTGGGCCATGATCCCTGTGCAAGACAAGTAAGAAGGAAGTGAGTGGTAGAAATCCAGTGTCCTAAACCCACATCCAGAGGTGCAAGGGTCCCTCACGGGCTGCCAAATTTACAGTTTTCCTGCACAAGAGAAGAAACTAAGTATTTGATTTGCTGGAAACTCTCATAAGACAGAGAATCCATTCCCTAACTTTCCATGTAGTGTTATTTCAAGAAAATTGGGTCAACATTCACACCCCCAATAAATCCAGGTGGCACCCAGTATCAGTGAAATTTCTCCCAATTAAGAGCGAGAGGGGGCAAGGCTCTTTACAACCCAGTGACAGGCAATCACAACTCAACGAAGGAAAGAGGTGCTAAACCCTCTTCTCCCCGAACATCCTCACACAGAAGAGAATGCACACTGGACTTAGGCTGAGTGGAGAGAAGTTCCTCTTCTTACTGAGAAAACAGATGCTAGGGAGCAAGTAACATGTAAGATACTTTATAATACAGAGTATTCTGGCAGGGCACATTGGCTCACACCTGTAATCACAGCGCTTTGGGAGGCTGAGGCAGGTGGATCACCTGAGGTCAGAAGTTCGAGATCAGCCTGGCCCACACGGTGAAACCCCTTCTCTACTAAAAATACAAAACAGCCAGAAGTGGTAGCGTACACCTGTAATCCCAGATGCTCAGGAAGCCTGAAGCAGGAGAATCACTTGAACCCAGGAGGTGGAGGTTGCTGTGAGCCAAGAATATACCATTGCACTCCAGCCTGTCTCAATAAATAAACATAATGCAAATCATAAAAATAAAAAATAAAAAAATGACACCTGGTCAGGTGCAGTGGCTTACACTTGTAATCCCAGCATTTAGGGAGGCTGAGGCAGGTTGATCACATGAGGCCAGGAGTTCGAGACCAGCCTGAGTAACATGGCAAAAACCAGTGTCTACTGAAAAACACAAAAATTAGCCAGGAATGGTGGTGCACCATTTGTAATTCCAGCCACTCAGGGGGTTGAGATATGAGAATGGCTTCAATCCAGGAGGTGGAGTTTGCAATGAGCTGAGATTGCACCACTGCACTCCAACCTGGGCAACAAAGCAAGACTCTACCTCAAAAAAAAAAAAAAAAAAAAAAAAGACACTTGGCTGGGCTCGGTGGCTCACGCCTGTAATCCCAGCACTTTGGGACACCGACACGGGTGAATCAGGAGGTCAGGAGTTCAAGACCACCCTGACCAACATGATGAAACCCTGCGTGTACCAAAAACACAAAAATTAGCTGTGCATGGTGGTGCACGCCTGTAATCCCAGCTACTTGGGAGGCTGAGGCAGGAGAATCGCTTGAACCTTGGAGACGAAGGTTACCGTGAGCCTGAAATCACACCATGGCACTCCAGCCTGAGTGACAGAGCAAGACTGCCATTTCAAAAAAGAAAAAGAGGCCGGGCGCGGTGGCTCAAGCCTGTAATCCCAGCACTTAGGGAGGCCGAGGTGGGTGGATCACGAGGTCAAGAGATCGAGACCATCCCGGTCAACACGGTGAAACCCCGTCTCTACTAAAAATACAAAAAATTAGCTGGGTATAGTGGCACGTGCCTGTAATCCCAGCTACTCAGGAGGCTGAGGCAGGAGAATTGCCTGAACCCAGGAGGCGGAGGTTGCGGTGAGCTGAGATCGCGCCATTGCACTCCAGCCTGGGTAACAAGAGCGAAACTCTGTCTCAAAAAAAAACAAAAACAAAAACAAAAACAAAAAGAAAAAGAAAAAAAAGGCACCTTATCCCCATATTTTTTAACAAACAGAATGAAATTTGTTTCCCAAAACAAGGTTCCCTGAATAGAGATGGAAGTGAAAGCAGTATCAAGCAAGTCAACAGATAAATGATGCAAACCGTTTTCCTTAGCAGCCTAGGTCCATGTGCTTTCTCTCGTGGCTAAGTTAAGACGAAGTGAATTTGTTTGGACTCCTTTCCCTCTCCCTCTCCCCCAAGTCTAAGTAAATGTGCATTAAAATGTGGCTTAGGCAAAACTGGACAGCAAAGGCATATGTTTCTGTAATCGGGCATTCACTTAGCATATACTTTCATTACTTCTGAAAGTTCATGGTATTTTTTTTCATAATCTCAGTTTTCCTTTAATTCCTCAGCGAAAGAAAATAGAGATGGGTTCTCATTCTACAAATGCAGTGATTTGTCAAGGTCATACAGTCACTCTCACAGTCAGAACATGAAACTAGGGCAATTTTCTCCCTACTGCTGTTACCGTTTCGCATCTTTAATCGCCAAAAATCTGCTATCAGGTCATCACGAGGCAGGAAAATAGGGTCTGGAGGCAGGGAACCTAAGGCCAATTCATGCGGACTTCCTAGAACTAAATCAAAAGAAAAACCCCAACTTTTTTTTTTTTTTTTTTTTTTTTTTGAGACGGAGTCCTGCTCTGTCGCCCAGGCTGGAGTGCAGTGGCGCGATCTCAGCTCACTGCAACCTCCACCTCCCAGGTTCAAGCGATTCCCCTGCCTCAGCCTCTCGAGTCGATGGGACTACAAGTGTGCGCCACCACGCCCGGCTGATTTTTTTGCATTTTAGTAGAGACGGGGTACCGCCATGTTGGCCAGGATGGTCTCCATCTTCTGACCTCACGATCCGCCCGCCTTGGCCTCCCAAAGGGCTGGGATGACCGGCGTGAGCCACCGCGCCTGGCGGAAAACCCCAGCTTTCCACACCCGAGTAACGAAAGGATGGGAAGCTACTCAGTTTGCAAACCCCCGTCCCCGCTTTTTCGGCGCGCCAGACGGAAAATATGGACTATCTCTGATCGGTTGCTTCTTGCAACCAATCAGAGGCTGAAGCGAAGTTACAGTTACGGCCCTGTGCAAACGTTTGATTGGTTGCAGAAAGCAACCAATCAGAGATAGTCCATATTTTCCGTCTGGCGCGCCGAAAAAGCGGGGACGGGGGTTTGCAAACTGAGTAGCTTCCCATCCTTTCGTTACTCGGGTGTGGAAAGCTGGGGTTTTCCGCCAGGCGCGGTGGCTCACGCCTGTCATCCCAGCCCTTTGGGAGGCCAAGGCGGGCGGATCATGAGGTCAGAAGATGGAGACCATCCTGGCCAACATGGCGGTACCCCGTCTCTACTAAAATGCAAAAAAATCAGCCGGGCGTGGTGGCGCACACTTGTAGTGCTTATTGCAACCTATCAGACTGACTGCTGCCAGGTCTTTTTGTTTTAAGACAGAGTCTCACTCTTATCACCCAGGCTGGAGTGTGGTGGCACGTTCTAGGCTCACTGCAACCTCAGCCTCCCGGGTTGAAGCGATTCTCCTGCTTCCGCCTCGCGAGTAGCTGGGATTACGGGTGCCCGCCACCATGCCCGGCTGATTTTTCTATTTTTATTAGAGATGAGGTTTCGTCATATTGGCCAGGCTGGTCTGGAACGCTTGACCTCAGGTTATACACTCACCTTGTCCTCCCAACGTGCTGGGATTACAAGCGTGAGCCACCACGTCCAGCCTTTTTTTTTTTTTTTTTTTTTTAAACACTGAGTCTTGCTCTTTCGCCAGGCTGGAGTGTAGCGGCGCGATGTAACCTCCGCCTCCCCAGTTCAAGAGATTCTCCTGCCTCAGCCTCCCGAGTAGCTGGGACTACAGGCGCCCACCACCACGCCCGGCTAATTTTTGTATTTTTAGTAGAGACGGGGTTTCACCTTTTGTCCAAGATGGTCTCCAACTCGCAACCCCAGGTGATCCACCCACCTCGGCCTCCCACAGTGCTGGCTGTGCTTTCCACAACCAAGCAGATGTTTGTAGAGGGTGTCACTTTTGTCACTGAAATCCCAGAGGGGCTCTTGAGCCCCTCGGCTCAGCACGTCCCCTCTCTGTGGAGTGTTCCTTTCGGCTTTCAATACATCTCGGCTTTTGTTAGTTCTTCCATTCCTTGCTTTGTGCATTTTGTCCAATTGTTTGTTCAAAATGCCAAGGACCTGGACATCTTCCACCGGTTTAACGATCACACTCAATGTGTGTAAGGAACAGGGGGCAGACGCCATACCAACAGCCCACGGGGCGCCTCACATGACGAAGGTCCTATGTCATCGTCAGAACCGTCAGGGCGGGCAGCGAGCCCTGCAGGATGAAAAGCCCCTGGAGGCGGCGACCCACCCGCCTTCTCCGGGCGTCCTGCTCGCTGGAAACAAGTGCATCCGGGTCACACCGGAAGTTCACTGCTCCGTGCGCGTCCAAAGGTGACTTCCCGGGCGGTCCTTAGTGCAGACTACACGTGGAGCCTTCCGCGCACCCTGCCCTTGGCGATGGCTCCCTCTCTTCTCTCCTCTTCTCCCAGAAAGAAACTGCCATCAGGAGGTGGCGTTACCAATGAACACCAGAGGCGGCACCGGGCCAGGCAGGTGACGCCAGCGCTGGTCCCCACGGGACTGAACGCCACAGGAGCTGGGTATGTACGGGTTCAGCGGACCACGACCTCGCTGCATGCGCTTGGGGGCTCTACTCAGCCGCCTCGTGTGTAAATGGAAATGCTTGATCCCTTTTATGAATCCCCTCAATTTAAAATAAGGGTTGCACAAAGAGAAAGAAATGAACATTTATTGAATACGTGTCATGCTTTATTGGCCATCTTGTATAATAAGCACAGCAACCCTGGGCAGGAGAGCACGCAACATGAAGGACACGTGGAGCCCAGGAAAAGCTCCTTGATGGAGGTGGTGCTTCAGAAGCCACCTCAGCGGGTCCATGGCGTCTTTTCCTGGCTGACTTTACTTTCTGATGTCACCAGCAGTGAACCACAAATCACCAGGATATGACCTGTCCTGTCATGGCAACACATCAAAACTCTGAGGTCTCCCAATAAAAGAGGCCATGAAACAAACAAAAAATACTGTAAAACAGGTAAAATGGGGACATTTTGCTCTGCGCTCCTAAGGAATGCAACTAAGCATGATTTTTATTTTTTTATTTTTATTTTTTGGGCAGTTGGGGGACAGAGTCTTGTTCTGTTGCCCAGGCTGGAGTGCTGTGGCGAAATCTGGGCTCGCTGCAACCTCTGCCTCTCGGATTCCAGCGATCTCCTGTGTCACCTTCCCGAGTAGCTGGGATGGCAGACACCCACCACCACGCCCAGCTAATTTTTGTATTTTCATAGACAAGTTTGGGGTTTCGCCATGTTGGCTAGGCTGGTCTTGGAACTCCTGA